TGCATGGCACCTCAAACTGTGTGCAGTTGTGGGGCCCAGTGGTATACCAAATGCCATTTGAAAGCATTGGAACAAAATCTCAGTATCAACATGTCAGATAGCAGGGATGAGCAGACCATAGACAGACATCCAGGAGTGGACCATTGGCCAAATTCAGTAGACCACCCAGCCAGAAGTCCAATGGGATTGCATCTGAGTAATCATAGGACATAATGGGTCAGCATCTGGGATAGACAAGGACAGTATCTTTTTCTTCACTATCTGAAAGGAAAGGAATTATTTATTTATTTATTTGTTAAATTTATATCCCGCCCTCCCCCGTAGGGCTCAGGGCGGCTTACATTATAGGGGAGGGGCTGAACAAAGGGACTGTAGCTCAGTGGAAGAGGCTCTGCTTTGCATGCAGAAGGTCCCAGGTTCAATCCCCAGCATCTCCATTAAAAAGGACCAGGCAGCAGGTGATGCGAAAGACCTCTGCCTGAGACCCTGGAGAGCTGCTGCCAGTCTTAGCAGACAATACTTTGATGGACCAATGGTTTGATTTAGTATGGGGCAGCTTCATATGTGTTCCTGTGATATTGATAGGAGGGAAAGTATTAACTTGTGATCAAGCACATTCTGGGAAGCAGGAATTTTCCCAAATCATGATCAAGTTGCTTTGCAGTATATTTGTGATCTCAGTAGCTGCTGCCTTCCTGAGCATAGATTATTGTGCTCTTCTCAGAGAGAGACGGTGCTGAAAACCCCGTGTAGTCAGGATTGCAGATACAGCCAAAGAACTAAGGTGCTAAATAGATTCTGTCCTGTTGAATTTGATTTGAGCTTTTCTTACACGTGTTGCTGAATTTTGAATCGGGCATCTATATATGTCAGTACCTTTCCCTGTTACCTGGCCTGACGCTATGCGGTTGTTTTCCGCATCAGGTTCCACTTCTTACAATGCTGCATAGTGATCCCGGAGAGCAGGACAGAGGATTTCAGATGCTTGAAGACCATTCTGCTGTAAGGCTTTGACCAGTTGCTTGCCTGTGATGCCCTTTTTTGCCTTTTGGTGTTGCACCAAATAAAAATGCATTGATCAATCTGTCTTACTTATTTTGTGTAAAACATGCGTGCACTCTAGGAAAGGACACAGATATGCACACTACAAAACTCATAGTTCCGGAACTATCAGACTCCAGTCTCCTGGGCTCACTGGGCTCCAGTTGAACATCTTATGATTTCCTTTGCCTTTCTACTTTCACCCCATCAGACAAAATGCACATACGTATTATTGCAAGACTGGTGCCTTATCAGTGCGAATATAGACAGTGATCTGATTGTTCCGCTCTGGGCCAGTGTCTGTGAAGAAAAAGTATTTTTGAGTCCAGTAGAGACAGAGCCATACAGCAGCAGACTTGGGATTTAGGATCATTCTGGGGAACTGTCGGGATGGTGGATTTGCTCCCTATTTGAGTGCCTCTTCGTCTCCAGTTGTGATCTACTAGTATGCTTGTTAGTACAAACATTAATTTCTCATTAATTTCTCTCCTTCCAAAGGAGCCAACCCAGTTCTAACACCTACCCCTGGAACAGTTAGATTGGAGTCCAGCAGCACCTTAGAAACCAACAAGATTTTGGGGTTATAAGCTTTTGAGAGTCAAAGCTCCATTCGTCAGATGCTTCATCAGGAAGCTTTAATTCCTGAAAGCTCATACCCTGAAAATCTTGTTAGTCTCTAAGGTGCTATACTGGACTCAAATCTAGCTGTCCTATTGCAGACTAACACAGCTCCCCTCTGAAACTGCCCCTGGAAGTTCTTTCTATAACAATATAAATGAGTATGTGCCTCTTTTATTTATTTTTAAAGGCAGGTAGCTCACTTGACAGAAAGGACAAAATTGATGGTTGGTCTAGCCTCTTGGTATGTACATTTGTCATGCAAGTTGTGATGGAGGATATGAGCTGGGCTTATATCACACTGGCAGAATTTGCAATGAGAGATCTTTAAATGGCATGTCTGTAAGCTTTCTGTGTGGCTGTTTCTCATGCCTGCATAAAGGTTATGATCCCTACCCCAGTCCTTCCCCAGAACTACAGTTCCCACACACTGTGGTTCCTTCAGCATTGTATGAGCACAGGTTCCTCCTGGATTCAGCTTAATCCTCACACTGTGCTTTAGTCAATCAGCTGCCCCTAATAAACATATCTAATTCCCATTGATGGCCCCACCATGTGGATCAAAACATCTGCACAATGGGCCTACCGAAGTTGAGTGAGGGTAGATGTTTCTGAAAACCTGGGAGAACCCTCAGTTTTATAAACAGTTACATTAAAAATGCAGGGAGGAAAAAGAATAAAAAATTTAAAAGTGCCAATATCTTGCATGACTACCTCATGAGAACTTGGCAGTTATTTTAGATTGCCTAGGCAACAACATCGTCAATCTGATGTTGTCTCTGGTTGCCTAAAGAACCTAAAATGGCTGCCAAGGTCTTGTGAGATTTCAACAGTTTCATTTTTAAACTGAAGGAGAAAAATCAGAATGGAACAGAGTGACAGAAGGAAAATAGGGCACAGACAGGGAAGATGGGGGCCTCAGGGGGGAAGGACATTTCCCTCCTCTGTGAGTCCTCATGGATTCTCCACTTTTATGTATGTATGTATGCATGTATGTATGTATGTATGTATGCATGCATGCATGTGTCTGTCTGTCTGTCTGTCTATCTATCATCATCTATCTATCCTTTCTTAAGTGCCGTATGTATGTGTATTTATTTTGTCATTCATTTGTTGCCTTACTAATTAAAAAGGACATCTTTGTAGAGGTTCAAGGGGGCATGGATTCTAGCCAATCAGTGCTGCCCACAGTCAACTTCTGCTGCAAACCTGCAGAACCATTTTGTTTAAGGATCTTGACTCTGGATAGAAAAGGAACAAGGAGATAAAAAACAGTGAAAGCCTTTCCATATCTGCACTGTTGTAAAATTGTTACAACCATCTTTACCCATACATTTCCTTTCATCTTGTGCTCATAACTAGAGGCTCATTCTCTCTTCATTGGGGCTTTTATTGCAGAAGACTTAGCAATGTACTGCACTGACTACCCTGGTAGTCACCGCATCCTGTGAATTTTTGCCCGTGTTCTTCTCTCAGTCTTCCTTCTCATCACCATGTGTGATGATATAACATAGAGATTTGTAATCAATGTTCCCAGCCACGTCAATGGGGGCTACAGCAAACATTTCCTCCACCTAGAGAGAAAGAAATACAGGAAGAGGGTAACAATATGCAGTCACCCATAACTGATCATAGGGTTGCCAATGTTCACATAGGACCCGAAGTTCTCCAGGAAGTAGAACTGCTCTTCAGGCTACAGAGATCTGTTCCCCTGGAGAAAATGGCAGCTTAGGGGGGTGGAATCTATAGCACCACACACCCCTGCTGAGCTCCCTCCCCCCTCAAAACTCCACCTTCTCCAGGCTCCACCCCTAAATCTGCAGGCATTTCCCACCCAAGAGTTGCCAACAGGGCCGGCCTGAGGGTTTTTTGCGCCCTAGGCGGGGCTACCTTCTGGTGCCCCCTCATGCGTGCCCACCAATTACGGGGTTGCCAACCTCCAGGCAGGAAACCACTGTGATAAAATGACAAAGACACATTTAATAAATTCTGTAGACATTTTGCAGTAAAGCAGAGTCCAACTTATTCATTTTCTCAACAGAGCCCAACTTATTCCTTTTCTCTTTTCTCGATGAGTACACCGGTTTTTACACTCATTTCAGCTATCTTCCTCATGAGTAATCTTATAAAGTTGGAAGATGGACTCTGTTGAGAAAATGAATAAGTTGGACTCTGCTTTACTGCAAAATGTCTACAGAATTTATTAAATGTGTCTTTGTCATTTTATCACAGTGGTTTCTTGTTTTGTTGGCATGTATCTGCACACTGTGACCCCTTATTATATCTTTTTTAACCTCCAGGCAGGGCCTGGAGAGAAGGAAGTCACCTTCCTCATGCCCCCTCGCCTTCCTCACCCCTCCCCCACAAAAGAAGCTAAAACCTCCGGGGGCGAAAAGACTGGACTGGACGCCAGGTGAGAAGAGGCCGGAAGGGGCCCGACCACCTTGACACGCCACCCTGTCAATCTGGGGAGAGCTTCACCCCCCAAATCCGAGGCAGGCTCGACCCCCTCGGTGCTGCTTACTGGCCTCAGCAGCTGGCAAACGAGGACAGTGGACTGGATCGAGCGGGCCGCCCCTCTGCAGCCACGCCCGGCTCGCCCGCTGGAGCCAGGCCGGTGCCGCGGAGGAAGGCAGGAAGGCAGGAAGGGAGCTGACGACTGGGCGCTCCTCGTGGCGGGGACAAGCCATTTGCACCCTTTGCCATGACCACGGGCAGGCTGGCTGGCTGGCTGGCTGGTGGGGGTGGGGTGGGGTAGGCGCTCCTGGCTGCTGGGCGCCGCCGCCCCCGTCCTTGCCCCTGCCACGGCAGCAGCAACGCCAGCAGGAGGGAAGCTGGTGGTGAGCCCGGAGGGAAGTGGAGGCGCGGCTGAGGGAGGTGGGTGGCCAGGCGGAGGAGGAGGCCATAGGCTTTTGGCGGGGGTTGGGGGGCTTTGGCAGGGCGGCGGGTCCAGTTTGGTGCCCTAAGGGCTAGCCTGCGCTCTAGGCGAATGCCTAGTTCGCTTAGCGGGTAAGCCGGCCCTGGTTGGCAACCCTGTTTAAAGTTGACATTTTAAGAGGCTTGCAAAAGGAGGATTCCAGTTGTCAGGGAATGGGGATTTTTAGAGGGAATGCAAGGGAAATTCTGGTTATTGGTTCCCCAAGAATGGTTACCTCACCTCCTCAGGAGAGAACTTGTCCGCCTGTGTTAGCAGGAGTTGTTTAAACCTGGAAACCAAATTAGAGTTTAGAATTCACCCAAATTTAAGATTTGTCTTTACTAGACAAACCTGAGTTTCTGTATTCCAGTTGTCCTTCTTTATCAGGGACAAAGCCTCTTTTCTGGTCCCTTTCCCAGACAGATCACTGTGTCAGATTTGTTCCTATTTTAGCTTTTGGGGACGTCTTGTTAAAATGTTGTCACTGTGAGTTCATACAATTGTCATTCCGCCCCCTACTTGAGTTCTCTAGAAGTTAAATCTCTGAGTGGGTACATGGATGCATCTTGTCTTTCGTGTGCATGTTGGCAGATTTGTGCTCATGCACACTAAGGCACCGTGCAATGCCATTTTACGCTCTTCAGCTTCTGAAATATATTTTGAATGATGCCTTAGCATTCAATATATTGCAGGACCATTGCATTTTTTCTGGGTAGTTTTTCAACCAAAAGAAAATACACAGCCTTGGTTTTTAAATCTGTAGAACACAGACTATTATTGAGGAGTAAATGAATACAGCTGAATGTGGAAGAACCTTGACCATGCAATAGCAAGGAGGTGATGGAGATGTCAGAATTACTCTTGGTTGAGAAGGGGGACCAGAGAACTTTGTTCCTGATTTAATCTTTGAAGTATGAACAGGCATGGAAGTAGGCTCACCAACCTCCAGGTGGCACCTGGAGATCTCCCACGATTACTATTGCTCTCCAGAGGGCCAAGATCAGTTCCACTGGAGAAAATGGCTGCCTTGGACTCTATGGCATCATACCCTTCCGAGGTCTCTCCCTTCCCCAAACCCCACCCTTCCCATCCTTCACCACCTAATCTCCAGGTATTTCCCAACCTGGAGCTGGCAACACTAAAATCTCCAGTGATTAAGGAAAGAAATATAGTTTGTGCGGGGTGTGTCGGGGTGTGTGTGTGTGTGTCAGAGCCCAACTGGCTGTCCTAAGGAAGGAGATAGCATTTGTGCTTACTCTTCTTTGTTGACATAACCTGATCCATTGGGGTCAAAGAGCTTGAAGGCAGCAAGGATTGATTCTTCTGGGTCAGTTCCTGTGGAGGAGAAGAGAAAGATTGTTCAGGATGCACTCTCAAACCTTGCCAAGTAACAGAGACCTCTTCTCATCAGGGAATCAGGCTGCCACAGTTGGCTCAGGATGTGGTTTTGAGCCCAAGGTGGGGAGAAACTGTGACTGATGCTGAAGGTCCCCAGGGCAGGCAGATCCCCTACCTTCCAACATTTCAGCACTGAAAAAAAGACGTTTGTAACAATTCCACTATCAGGGCTCTTTTTGTAGAAAAAGCCCAGCAGGAACTCATTAGCATAATAGGCCACACCCAACAGCAGAAACTAATTATCATATTAGGCCACACCCCTGACAGCACAGCTCATTAGCGCATTAGGCCGCACCCCCATGTTACCAGAAGTGGGGTTATCCAGCCACACCCACCTTTTGCTTCTTATTCTGTTTACTTTGTTTGTTGTCAAAACCCAGGGCTTTTTTGTAGCAGGAACTCCTTTGCATGTTAGGCCACACACCCCTAATGTAGCCAATCCTAATGAGTTTCTGCTGTTGGGTGTGGCCTATTATGCTAATGAGTTCCTGCTGGGCGTGGCCAACTTGGGAGCCAGCCGGAACTCCGGTGTCCTGTACTAGTTAGAGTGTTGTTGGACTGGCAGGGTTGCTGAGCTCCATGTAGGGGCTGGGGATCTCCCAGAATTACGACCAATCTCCAGCCTACAAATATCACTTCTCAAGGAGAAAATGACTGCTTTGGAGGGTGGACTCTATTGCATTATGCCCTGCTGAGGTTCCTCCCTACCCTGCCCAAATCTCAGGGAGTTTCCCAACCCAAAATTGGCAACCTTAGTCACTGAGTGATCTGAGGCCTGCCAATCTCTATCAGCCTGACTTACCTCACAGAGTCATTGTGAGGATAAAATGGAGGAGAGGAGAACATTGTAACTTGCTTTGTGTCCCCACTGGGGAGGAAAGTGGGGTATAAATAGCTAAATAGATAAACAAAAACTGTTTCTCCTCTTCTGCTATGTGCTGTTGAAAGCTGCTCACCTAGGGTTGCCAAGTAAAAAACTTACCAAAGCGGGGGACTCCCGGTCGGCGTCTGGAGTTTTCCCTCGGATGACCGTGGCCCCGCCCCCAGCGTGCCCGGCATACCCGCGTCACTTCCGGGTGATGTGCACGTGGGGGTGGAGTTCCCCTCAGGGCCCGATCTGCCGGCGGCAGGGAACGGGCCCCTGGGGCGGGGGTTTCCCCGCCCCCCGGGGGGACTTGGCAAGCCTATGCTCACCATGTGTTCTCTGTCGTATGTGTTCATTCTACAATGACTTGTCTTGAATTTTTAAAAATCAGAAGGGTTGTAAAGTACTGGGTTCACACATGGAGACTTGGACTACGACATGCTAACTAGATGTGTTTATTGTACTTCACAACAAGAGAACACTCACAGCCCGGCAAGGCCCAACAAGGGTGAAAGTTCTGGCCAAAGTAGTAAACTATATTTCCCCTGTGATATGTTGCCAACAGTCTAGAACATGCCACAGCAGCCGCAGCATGAAATGGCAGGTTGTATATTGTGTTTAAGTGTTCAGGCATTTACATCAGGGGTGTCGAACTCATTTGTTATGAGGGCTGGATCTGATATAAATGAGACCGTGTTGGGCCGGGCCATGTATGGCGGGTAGCGGAGATATAAACTTTATAAAGGACACAAACACAAAGGTTTTTTTTACTTAAAATAAAATCATGCTTAAAACATTAGCACTCTTGCAATATTTTGTTTATTTAACAGTGTCTGATAACGGATACCTCTTGCTCTGAATTATTGCATCAAAATGTCTGTGCTGTTGCAATCTTGAGTATGCTGTTCAAGTGTGTATTTGTAAGCTGCAAACCTACGATGACGCAGCAGCAGCAGAACTGGAAGAAGCAGCAGAAGACAGCCAGTTCTACTGTGGGCCTGATAGAAGCCCTCTGGGGGCCTCACCCGGCCCCCGGGCTGCATGTTTGACACCCCTGATTTACATGTTTGTACACTAGATGAGATGTAGTCATCTACCCACTCAGAGAGTTAACTGCTAGAGGCACTAGGGTTCTGACCTGTGAGGAATGATGGCAGCAGGAAACCATACAATGATTTCCTGTGGACTGGACTCTGTCTTGGCAAGGCCCGGGTAGCACTCACTAACTCACCATTCAGTTTCTCTCCAAAGAGGGTTAGAAAGACTGTGAAATTAACTGGCCCTTTCCCTTCCTTCAGCATCTCCTCCAGCTCCTCATCCTTCACATTCATTTTCCCTGTGGAGAAAGCAGGCATTCAGTAAAAACTCCTTTTCCAAATGGGTGAAGCCTTTTATATTTCCTGTCATGTACGATATATTATTACTTCCTGTCATGTACAGTAAGTATAATTCGTCTTGTGACAAATGGATTACAATCTATATCAAAAAATGGAGTTCTGCCACAAAACAAGAGGTTGTAGCAAGACTATTAGCAAATATTGATCCAAATGTGACTCTGACAGTTGCAGACTTTTTGTCTGTGGCATTTAATGGCTTGTGAAATCTGAAATTTTCTCGCCATCTTGGAATGAACTGAATTTTGCTGATATATGCACTGTATATTTTACTGTAGGATTTTAACTTTTAGTTATTTATTGTATGTTCCTTTCTGTTGTAAGCCGCCCTGAGCCCTGCTTGCAGGGAAGGACGGCCTAAAAATTAAATCAAATAAATAAATAAAATAATAAACAAACAAGGTTGTTGTGAGGATAAAATGAAGGGGAGGAGAATGACGTAAGCCACTTTGGGTCCCCAGTGGGGAGAAAGGTTAGATAAGTAAGTAAGTAAGTGCATCCAGCTTAGCTGGGACCAGAATCCGTACTTGAACCTGGAAATCTGCCCCGTACATAGGAAACCCTAACTAGGCCTGTGTATGGCCTGGGTGACTCCATCTTTGTTACATGCTGATGCTTAGTTGACTTGAATCTCGTGAGAAAATGTTGATTGGCTGCTCCCAAGAGAGTTCTCTTTCTCTCTCATGCTTGTTAGCAGTGCTTATCTTCAAAGTCTGTGGTTTCTTCCTCCACTGCAAGCCAGGTGCAAGTCGGCCTGGCTCATCCAAGTGTTTGGGATAGCTTAATCATTCTTTGACTCATAGCCAGCATTTAGGGTATAAGACGTGTAGTTTTAGTCATGCTTCTAGTCTCGAGGTCTGGCTACGTTTCGCTGTTGTGTGTGTGCACGCTCAGCCTGCATTTTCTGTAACTTTGATGCATTATTAAAGATCTTCTTGTAGGTAAACCCAGATCTCTCATATAATTTATTTGGGAATTTCTGATAACCTATGGAGCCATGGGAGAACCATGAGCAAACCTTTCCAATGTTGTGAAGGGGGAAATATCTGTGCAGGATCCCCTGTTCAGATTGGGGCCACAATGCAGAAGAGAAAGGTTTAACCCTTTCCTACCACTATGGGTTTACCAAATGAAGATCCCCCTTCCTGCACTATTATTAGCCCTGAAAAGGAAAAAATATATATACACAAACAATGGTAAGATATCTGTTCTCTTCCAATAATAACAGTCAGTGAGGAGAGTGGGGTACAAATCAAATGAATAAATAAATAAATGTGGATATAAAATATTTAAATTCCTTCTCTTCCCAGTTTCCACAGCCTGAATATGAATTAGTGTCCTGCATAGATCTGTTTGACTTAAAAACCCTGGGAAGATCTGTTCATGGCTCTCCCAGTGTTTTAATTTAGTTAGACCCTGAATATTCCATACCATGTCCTTCAGACCCAACCCTGTTTTCTCCCTGTAGCAGCTAATGATGTGATGATGAAGAAACCTCTGAATTCATACAGAATGCCATTTCCTAACAACTGGACTCACTCACCGAGTTGGCCATAGGTCTCTTTCAAGTCTGATTTGCTGATAATGCCGTCACGGTTCTGATCAATGCAACTGAATGCCTTGGGGAAAGATAAACGTATTCTTTGGAGTTCCGTTCCTTTGCATGATAATGATAGAGATGCACATACACATATATACAAACACAAATATATCCCCATCCTACCCACCCCAGGAATCCATATCTCCTACCAATATATTATGTCCCCACAGGAGAGGGAAAGAAGTTGTTCTATGTCATAACTCTATTCCTTGACTTCCAAATAGGAATGTTTTTACAGCTTCCAGAGGTTGTCCTACTATAGCTATCCTAGTTCCAGTCCCCCCGCCAAAAACACACATATACACTTTACTCTGATCATTTTGAAAAGAACACAGTCAAGCCATCTGGAAGGATTGGTGCACATTGTCCTACTCTGGAAAAGTCCCACCCACATGAACACCATTTCCTTGTGGTCGGTACGTTGTGGGTGCCATTTTCACAGTTTTTTTTCTTTGCCATGCCAGCAGACAGGTTTTTGAGGGCTTTTAAAATCAACAATTGCAATACTGCTGTACTGTCTGTTGCTGCTATTGTAATACTGTCAAGCCTGTTATTAATTCTAGTCCAGTAATTTCCTGTTGGAGTCTCCCTTTGAAGTTCCTTTGTTGAAGAATATTTTCTTTCAGGCCAGCAAACTGAAATGTTTTCCAAAATGTTTCTGAATGATACTATTTTATCAGCCTCAATGACACCATTATTTGCAGAATACCCTTTACCACATTGGACTGTAAGTTTTTTTCTTAGTCCCAAAAGTATTTTGAGTATCCCCACCCCCAGGCCCCCAAATACCTTGGATCACAAAACTGTATGTGCTTGTGGGGAGGGGGGAATTTTGACTTACATGTGCAACCCAGTTTTGCTTCTCTCCTGTCTAACCTTCCTCCATGGGTTGCAGAGGGGCAAAAAGAACTTACCTTTGTGATGCTGCATGCACATTAGCACACTTGCACAACACCCACTTGTGCTATGGATTCTTGGGATGCTAACATTACAAGCACAATAGCCAAGGGCCCATTTTAAAAAGATGTTAGGTCATGCAACATCGCACGGTTAAGGTCTTCAGGCCCACTGGTGGTGGTGTATTTAAGTCCTGTCTAAGGACAAATTCCAATAGCTCTTTTTATGTGGTAATGTCACCACATGTCTTTCCTTCACCACAGGTCATTCCGCAACTTGTGCTGCTGAAAGCTAGAGCTTCTGGGACATTACACAGAGCATCCAGGCTGGCGGACAGAAATAATTCTTCACTCAACAAGTAATTAAATTTTGACATTCACTACCAGTGTGAATGTAGTGGTGGCCGCTACGTAGATGGCTTTAAAAGGGAATTAGATAGACCCATGGAAGATTAGTCCATCAATGGATACTAGCCATGATGACTAAAGGGAACTTCTGCACCCAGGTACAGTAAATATCTGAGCCAGAGTATGTTGTAGTGCTTAGAGTGTTGAGCTAGGATCTGAAAGACCAGATTCAAATCCCCATTCTGGCATGGAAGCTTGCTGTGTGACCAAGGGCCAGTCATACACTTTCATCCTAACCAACCTCATAGGGTTGTTGTACACACACACACACACACACACACACACAAGTACTGGGAGGCAACATCAGGTGATGCTTTGGCCTCTAAGCCCTGTTTGTGGAACCTCCAGGGCATCCTGGTTGGCCACTGTGATAGAGGATGCTGGATTTGATGAACCACTGGCCTGATCCAGCATGACACCTCATACGTTCTTATTAAGGTTGACAGATCCCTCGTGGCAACCGGCAAGGGATGGGGAGAACTTACCAAGAGTGGGAGGGGGACCCAGCCAACTTTGCAGTGCCATGTCTACATCACTTCCGACGTGACCCGGAAGTGATGTCATCATGCAGCAATGTAGGGACGATGCTTTAGTTTTCAGGCAAAAACTACAGTAAATTTGGCCTCTACCATAGAGTTATTGCTCAAATACCAGAGTGTCACCCTGACAGCACTGATGTGATGAGATCACTTCCAGGTCATGCTAGAAGTGACATAGACACATTGTTGGAATGTCAACTGGGCCTCGCTCTTTTTCCAGGTAAATCCCCCCTGCCAGCCCCCCCTGATTGGCGGCGGGACAGTGGGACCTGGCAGTGGAGGACCTCTGCCTCCACTGGGGGGTCTGGCTTCTATTACCTTTCATTTTAGAAATAACCTACTGGTAAATGACCCCCCTAAGAATCCACCTTTGTCAAAGCCTCTCATTGGATGCATTCTGAATTAATTTCCTCCGCGTTCTGCTTAAAACTGGAGAACAGGCCTCGGCCTACGACTCCCTCACCTCCTTGAACTCCTGGATCTGTGACTGCTCAAACATGGAGAAGACATTGGAAGAGCCCCGCTGCTGACGCTTTGCAGCTGCTTTGCTTCGAGTCCCAGCTTTTCTGCTGGCCTAGGGGAGAAAAGTCACTGATTAAGGCATTGGAGATTCTGTTGTCCTGAATCCTAGCCAGTCAACATGAAAGGGATCTTGGCGTTGTAACTCAAAAGATGCATCCCTTATCTTGGAGTGAGCAACTCAGCATGCCTGGACATTGGAGGGCGCTACATCAGTCTAAGCGTGTCTAGGTGTCATCTCCTTGAATGGGATGCCTCTCTTTGTCTTAACCTGGGAGCTGCCCTCTGACCCCCTCCTCTCTCTCCTTTTGTCCTCCTTCCATAGAGACACACATCTCTGCAGGACTCCTGTAGATACATTGCCCTCATATTCCCATACACATGATGCTGGACAAGCGGGCCGTTTGTGATAGGGAGAGTACTCTTGATTAGGCTTCTTTCTCTTCTTTTGACTGCAACTTGAATGTGAATGGGATGTACTTGAATAAATGTAAGTTATTACCTTCTGTGATGTACTTCTTGGGAGATTTATTTATTGCACTCAGTATCATGCTTCTATGACTGGGCAAAACTCTGCTATATTAACCAGTTATTCCAATACCTTAAACATATGCTTTGGTAGCATCCAGTTATTCAGTTTTTCTGGAAAGAAGTTATTACTCAAATCCAGGGGTCATTGGGGGGGGGGGATGCGGGGGGACGCCATCCCCCCGGGTGAGGTGCGGGAGGGCGGGGCCTGGAGCTCCCTGCTGGTGCCTGCTGGAGGTCGCCGCCGGCTGTGGGGAGGACACACTTCCGGTGATGTCAGGGGGTGTGGCATATGCTAATGAGTTATGCTAATGAGTCCCCCTAGCTCTTTTTCTACGAAATGACCCCTGCTCAAATCAATTTCGTGTTATAACAAGAAGTGATTTTTGAGGATGGTTATGTACTTTCAACGATCTGCCCGTCTCTTGGAGGCTAACCAATGATCAACAAAAATGGACCCTCTATGTTTTCTTAAAAGACATATTTCTGCATTGGAAAGATAAAAGCGCATCTCCGGTAAATCAATGGACTGAAGACGTTAGAACTCCATCAATATTTGAACGCACAGCATATAGACGACAATTGTGTATGGACTTATTTTTAGATATTTGGAAACTGTTTACAGAATCTTATGTGTAGATACACTGCCACTGTTGTTACATATTTTTGTTATATATTTTTTTCATTTTTTAAACTTTATTTAGTTGTTGGATTTTAAGTATTTTCCCTTGTTCTTTTTTCTTTTCTTTTTTTAAAGAAAGGGGTTTTTAAAAAAAAGAAAAAAAGAGAGATCTTGTCATCCCATGGGGGAGGCTTACCATGAGCTGGCACAAAGAAATAGAGTCTAAAAGGCCTTTTCTAATCTAGACGGAACCCAAATAAATGCTACCGAGATAAAGCAGAATAGCCTTTTCTCCCTCTCAAAATAATTTGAACTTGGAAATACCCTACGGTGGCCCTGGTCACACTGGGGGGAAAGGCATGGTCAAAGTGCGTTTTTTTTTTGAGTCGCATCAAAAGAGAAATGCGGTGGCGGGATCAGACAGATCCCCCCAGCTGCTGTGCAGGTCCTCCCCGGCATGATCAGATGCCAGGAGGAAGCCACGGACCGGAGAGCGAGGCAAGCCCACTGCGCATGCGTGTGCATGCGCAGTTCGGCAGGACCTCGCATGCTGCGGGAGAGACAGGTGCACCGGTGATCAGACGGCCGTCCCTGCAGCAGATTTTCCAGTAAGTACTAGTGTTTTCTAGGGTTTTTTTCAATCCGCAACCTCGGCCGGAAGAGATGGATCAGGGACGGGTGCACGCCACTTCCCAGATGTTGCGGTGTGATCGTGCCTGCTTGATGCGCCCCCAATCCGTCCCTCTTGCGGATGAAAGCCTCCCGTGTGACCAGGGCCGGTTTTATTTGGGCATTTTTACTCTGCTTTCCCTCATTCCAAAGGAGGCCCAATGATGTTGATAAGCAGTAAATCTGGGACAGACAAAACAAAATATTTCATCTCTTGATGAAGTTTACGGAACTCATTCCCACAAGGTAAAGTGGTAGTGCCTGGCTTAGACAGCTTTTAAAAGACAATAGCCAGATTTGTGGAGGAAGGGTCTGTGGAGATAATCAGATCCTTCCATTGAATTGGACTGGTTATTCATAAATTATATCTGAATAGTAATGAACTATCAGAGCAATCTTAAGCATAAGTAAGTCCTGTTTTATTCCATGAGGCTTACTCCCAAGAAAGTATGTATTTAGGATTGCTGCCTGTATCTAAATAGGCAAGTTTAACAAACGTAATCCAACTCTAGACTGAAACAGTAATAATTTCTTTATATAATGGTCTCTGTAGCCTATTGAGGAATAGATATTCAGCAGAACAGGTCAGTTGGTTGTTCATCTTGTACTAGTGCAGCTATTTAAACTATTGCTGCTTTATGTTTGGACTTCATTAATGTTAATATCATAAGAGCCAGTTTGGTGTAGTGGTTAAGTGCACGGACTCTAATCTGGGAGAACCGGGTTTGATTCCCCACTCCTCCACTTGCACCTGGCTGGATGACCTTGGGCAAGCCATAGTTCTGATAAGAGCTGTTCTTGAAAAAGAGCAGTTTCTGTCAAGAGCTCTCTCAGCCCCACCTACCTCACAGGGTATCTGTTGTGGGACGGGGAAGGGAAAAGGAGTTTGTAAGCCGCTCTGAGACACCTTTGTGTAGTGAAGGGCGGGGTATAAATCCAATCTCTTCTCTTCTTCTTTATAGTTTTCTCAGTTGATTAAAAATAATCCAGTAGTTTAAGAAATTAGTGTTCTAACTCTGCTGCATTTTTAAGATAACCCAATTTTCCATCACCAAAATACTATCCTGCTCAGAATCCTAAAATTATTTAATGCACGTAAGAGAAGTAGTGAAAGCCAACAACCCAAATGAATTTGTTGGAACACCCCTAAATACAGTTGATAGATGATCTCCATTACTGAATGAGAGCCAATGCGGTGTGGTGGTTAGAGCGTAAGACTAAATGTGGGAAGAACCTGGATCAAATTCCCACACAGCTATAAAGCTCACTGGGTGACCTTGGACCAGTCACTCTGTCTCTGCTTAACCTACCTCACAGGGTTGTTGTATGAATAAAACAGAGGAGTGGAAAGCCATGTAAAAATGTAACAGAGATGGATAGACAGATACACATTCATTTTGCATCAGCACCTTTACACATAATTTTTAAAAATCCCATACACTGAAATCTCAGAGCAGCTAGACACGCAGGGCAATCCTCAACAGAGTGGCACCCGTTTAAGTCCATTGAAATCAATGGGCTGAGACTGGTGTAACTGTTCAGGATTGCGCTTGCAGTCACATAGTGATTGTATTAGATCTGCGGCAGAGAGCCAGGAGAGAGAGGTAGATGAAGTCACTCTCACGCACCTGCTGCTGGAACGGCTGGGTTGTTACTTCTCCCTCTTTCCAGAGGAACTAAATGTTCTTCATATGTGGGAGGGTTTTTGCCTGTCTGTTTTTTGTTTCTGGGTATTTTTTTTTGTTTGTTCAATAGTACAACATTCTGTTTTTCAATCTGTTCTCCTTTCACCCCACCCATGTCTCTTCTCTCAGGTCCATTTATTTTGTGCTTGCTGTGTTAAGATTTCGAGAATTATTCCCCCCCTTTTGAAATGGAATTTGTGGCATTGTACAAAAGTAGTCAACTGCTTTGAGGACTCTGCTCAAAAAGCAGGATGCAAATCTAATCAATGATATGTAAATAAACAGTAGTATGTCACAGAGTATGTATTAATCAGGAAACATTTGGGAGGCGTGACATAGTGGGGACATCACACGACCTACGGGATTATCAGTTCCCTCAGAATCAAAGTACAAGATCAGGGTCACTTGAGTATGCTGATTTATTTTAATTGATGCTAGTTTTAAATGGAGTCGTTGTTTAGTGAAGGCAAAATGGACAGGAAGGAAAAAGGATGCAAGGAAACAACGCCAGAACAAGAACAAACTTTGGGCACTGTTTCTCCTGGATCTCCAAAGCTGTCTCCCGCGGATAAGAAGGACCCTTCCCTATCACCATCTGGTCCGAAATGTAGGACAATCTTTCCCCAATCCTTTCTTCCTTGCATGAAGATGGAACCATTGCTCTCTGCTGTAGAGAGAGACTAAACAGAGGGATCCATACATCCTATGCCTTTTTCACTGCCTTCCACTCTGTGGGAGACAGCCGTGGTTCAGTCTTCATGCAGGGTTGCCCAAAAGCCTGGAGGAAATTTGCAAAAGCAGAGGGGACTGGGTACTCACCATCTTGGAAGTCCTGTAGAACAAAGAAATTCTGGAAGGTGTCAACTGGAGGCTTGAGCTATATCCCTCGGCTTATCTCTCGGTGAGCTAAATCAGGAACGAGGCAGCAGGAGAGAGCCAAACTTGGCAGTCCTCGCTTTGATACCGTAAAGAGTGATAAAGGCCTGGGTGATAGTGCCACATTCCAGGTTTTGTACACGGGGGAAACTGCAGCTTCACTGAGCTGAACCATCCCTTCCAAACCTGATTGTCAGAATCAGAACTATTGGTTTTCTGCACTAACCAGGCCGGCAACTCAGGTGGGAATGAACTGCAAGGGGGTATTGCTTTCCTGTAAATATTTTTTGCTTCCTTCTCCACCATGCTTCATGGAAATAAAATACATACCAGCAGTCTGGTCCTATGCGCAGCTAAATCCTTTGAAGTCAATTGTCCTACTACATGCTCCTAACTGTGTATGGGAACTGTGATCCCCCCCCCCCCCACCAATGGCCCCAGTCCCATGAATGTTTGTTCCTATTCCTCTTCTTCTGGCTGTGCTGCCCCCCTGTCCTATTTAAAATGGCTCTCATCAGAAAGGAAACATCTGTTACCGTGACATATTATTAGGGTTGCCAGCTCTGGGTTGGGAAATACCTGGAGATTTCAGGGGGAGGGACTTCAATAGGATACAATCCCATTGAGTCCACCCTCCAAAGTAGCCATTTTCTCCAGGGGAACTGATCTTGGTAGTCTGGCGAGCCACTGTAAGAACAGGAGCTCTCCAGGTGCTGCCCCGAGGTTGGCAACCCTACAAGAAGAGATGTGGAATCATTTTTCTTTTTAACATCTCAGTTCCACTGAACTCCAGAGAATGCACATCAGAGCTCTGATATCTGTAGTATTTTTAATCCTCATCTGGCTATGCTAACGAGGAATATATGGCTGGGTAGAATTACCCAGGTGCGGTGGCTCAAAGTGGTTAAGACGCTGCAGGCTGTGGAAGGTCAGTAGTTCAGCAGTTCAAGGCCCGAGTTGCCGCATGACGGAGTGAGCTCCCGTCTCTAGTTCCAGCTCCTGCCAACCTAACAGTTCGAAAGCAAGAAATGGCAAGTAGATAAATAGGTACCACTTTGGTGGGAAGGTAACAGCGTTCCGTGCGCCTTGGTGTTTAGTCATGCTGGCCACATGACCACGGAAACGTCTTCGGACAGCGCTGGCTCTTCGGCTTTGAAATGGAGATGAGCACCGCAACCCTAGAGTCGGACTCAACTGGCTTTTGAGCAAGGAAAACCTTTACCTTTACTAGAATTAATCTGGGGTTATTTGAGATTTGTGGTGTATATTTAACAAGAGTACTGAATTTATTTCAAATTCATTTGAATTTATTTGAAATGGCATTTGTTGCTGCTATTTTATAGTCATTTTATACATGGCACAGGGTGGCACAGGAACTTTGTACATCCACACAGGAGAATCTACTGATTGTTTTAGCTGCTGTAACTTGTTACAGCAGCAGGAAGGTGGAAGAAGTTACAGTCACCAGAATTTTTCACTTCATACAAGTATTAACAACACAGGAGTTGGATCTCATACAGAATCAGGAAACAAATGAAAAAATGGCATTTAATGTTTATGTGCATATATGTTGATATGGTACAGACTGGATATCCCCGTTTATAGTTATGAGTATTTTTTTCTGCTCTTTTAGTGCTTCTTGCTTTATAAAATCTTTATTCTTGCTTTAGTGCAAATACTTTTTATTGGTGGAAGAAGCAGCTATGGATACCAGCCCAAATATGAGGAAGGAAAAAAATTAAATGGGGATGTAGCTCTCTTAATCTAAACAGATTGTCTCTGTGTGTCTATACCAGATGCTGCTTATTACAAAAGCGTCACCAAAAGACTAGGGTGACTTCAGAGTCACTACTAGCTCAGTCGTTTGGCTGGTGAGACTTGGGTTCAAATTCAGCCTTAACCATCACACAGATGTTATCTTGGGAAATGTAATGTTGCTCTGCCAAACTTGCCTGCCAGCACAGTGCAATATTAAAATGGGATTAGCCCTGTGTATGGTACTCTGAGCTCTGTGAATGCAGGGTGGCTTGTGATAAAGTATGCCAATGCCAAGCAGCATACTTGGCTCTCAGACTGCAGCCTTAGGGAGTGAGGGGGAGCATCCACACAACATTCTCCTCCATTCATCCACATTCTAGAATATCATCTGCTTTGGTATGATCTTTCCTGAAAGCCTGAAGTCCAAGTAGGTTTGCATGCTATATGAATAGAAAGGTGCAGATTTTTGAAACTCCCCATGCCCATCGACACTATTTTGCAGCAGGTCATCTCCTCCGTTACTATTTCTCTGCCTTTTGTGCCACCAGGGGCCTTTTTATCGGCTTAACAAATCAGTAGTTGCTATAGAGTTATAACAATTTTCTTATACAGGAACTACCAATATTTTAGAAGGTGGCAGGAAGGTTTCCAATGACATTGGGGAGGAGGGGAAAGGAAGTTTCGGGGGGATGGTGGAGAAAAATATGTAGAATCCTCCCATGTGGATGCTCCGTTTCCACTGCGAATGTCTCTGCATTTATAGCAGAGCGACTGCACAACAGGGAATCGTTGCCACGCAAAAACAACCTGTGTATTTACCTTCAGCATCATTCTTACCACTGCTTTCTCCGTAATTTGGCGTGCTGATTTCTACTGCGAAATATTTTGCTTTGTCCTTAGGCAAACCTTGTTTCTTGCCCTGTAACTTTTACAGCATGTTGTACTTCATACTGTAGCAAGACTTGATCAATAAGATAAGGCACAAGAAGGACAAGTGGTACAATATATTTTAAAAAATTTATTCTTAATATTTTTTAATACAAAATGCTCCTGCAGGATGGCGGGAGGCACAGGGGGGGGGGAAAGACATTATTGCAGTAAGAAGGATATCAGAGTCAAATAACAGTATGTCCTGAAATCAGGATTCTGAAGGATCTGCCACGGGGCAGATGTTACATTTCATAAATAGAATTCTGCATGGTTTGGGTTGTTGTTTTTTTGTCTTTGTCTTGGTGAGTATATGTAAATGGCCAGCACAGATCTGTTTGTACTTATTGCTGGGAAATAAATGGGTTTCCTTAGCCTTTTTCAAACGTTTGGTTTTGGCATTCCACTTGCACATAGCAGGAGTGTGCATGAGTCATTCCCCCGGTACATGCAGTCATCATTTTCTAGCCAAAGAATGGGATACCACATATGCCTTTTCTCTGTGTGTACAGCTTTGGCATGTGCAAACACGTTCCCTAAAAATCTGGGGTCCCACTTGTGCATACGGAAGCTGGACAGGCAGTCGAAAGACATGTGCTGCTCCATTCACACAGGTGTGCACTCCCGTTACATGGGGTCGGTGTGCCAAAACCAAATGTCTGAAAATGGCCGGTGTGTGTACAGATCTTGTGTGCCAAAATGAGCAAAATGCAACGGGAATAGGGTGGCAGAATCATAAGATGGCATAAAGCAAAATGAAGTGGGAATGAAGCGGGAGAGTCATAAGATGGCAAAGTGGACTAGATCACTTCAGAATTCCTGATGTTAAAAAGCCCTACCTCCCTGCAGCCAGAAAACTCGCATAGCAGGGAGAGGGCTGGGTAGAACTTTTCTCCCCCGCCCCCCGTATGCTAGTTTCTTTGTGTTTTTTAATTTGCAGAGTTTTTTTAACAAGAGGAAACAGTCTTGCAACCTCTCCTTGCAGTATGGTACTACATATTCCACCACCACATTCCGCTGCATATGAAACCCAGTGATAAGCCTTATGATGTAGTCCAATGATCAGTTAAAGTGCATGGCAGCTGCTTTTTATCTTTCACTGTCAGTCCAGCTATAAATGGATGCTAGGCAGCCTTGTTTAAGTGTTACCAACTCTGGAGATTTGGGAGCTGTAGCTGGAGAGGGGTTTCCGTTTCTCCGAAACTTTGTGGCATACTGTCTACCTTTTGAAAGCTGCTGTTTTCTCCTGGGAACTGATCCCTGTAGTCTGGAGATCAGTTGTAATTCTAGGAGAACCCCAGCCCTCACCTGGAGGTTGGCAACCCTAGCTGATATATCTTTTTCTTTCAGTCGTTTGAAATGAGTACTTCGGTGAAATGAGTACTTCGGTGACATGTCTTTCAAAGGAATAAACGAAAAAATAAAAAGCAAAATGCTCAACAAAAGTTTAGGCATGTCTAGGAGCAGACTTTCTAAAATTTGCCCCCTTTTAGTTTTAAGGGTTAGCCCACACGCGATGCTGGAGCAGAGGGAATACTCAGCCTCTAAAGGCTATTTAAAAATATAATAAAGAAGAAATTAGGCCTATGATAAAAGATCACAAAATGGCATGAAGGCCGTTGCGTGGTTCCTCACTGGTGATGTCACTGATTGTCGAATCAGTGCCAATTACACTTGGGCAAACACATTCCACTTGACACTTGCCGTAGCAGTGGCCGCACCAGCTAATGGGCAAAATATTACGGCACAACTTCTAGAGAATATGGCATCCCTGCAACAAAAGCCCTATCTTCAGGAAAGGCATTTGAATCACCCAAAGTAGACAAGTAATAATTGTCGAGGTATGATATCTGAAAAGCCTGAAGAAATGCAACATCAGAAAAGAGACATCTTTTCCAAGGCCTATATGTGAAGCAGCTTCAAAGTCATCCCTCCAATCACAGATGTAAGGAGAACATATCTTTCTCAGGATAAGCCAATTCACTCAATATATACACTCAAGCGCAAAATGGCAGGATTCAATTACTGCTTTACGGGGTTTTATTAACAGTGCCATATTGACACATTATGCTGGTCGCATGATTTATTATTGTGTGATCCATGAACCTGCCCAGAAATGATGGGGCACCAGACACTCCACACTTGTGTGTGAACCTTCTAGGAAGATAAATTCACTCCATTGTCATTACCACAGAGAAGTTGCTTGCCTCAGTGAAGATGCCGCTTTTCAATATCTCACGGTTGGACATATGGTCCAGTCTTTGCTGGATCTCCTTAGGTCTACTGACTGTGAGATCTGAACTTGGATTTCTGCAGGGAGCTGTGTGGGGTACATTTCTCAGCTTCTAGCATTAGAAAATTGAAGAGGAATCAGGCCAGGGTGAGGAATGTCCAGCAGATCTCTCTAGGTCAGGGACACCCACCTTGTTGACCCTGTGGACAATTTTGGAATTTTAACATCGCTGCCATAGGAAGCAGGTATGCTGCCAATCACAAAATGGCTGCTTTGGGAGCGGGAGTCAATCAGAAAATATTAGCAGGTTCCAAGCCAAGTGACCTCCTATGATGGAGATACCTGTTCCAAATAGGAGCTCCCTGTGGACACAGAGATTATGATGGCTCTTGGGCTCTTTTGAAGCACCGTCTACGATACTGTGATGGAGAAAAGCTAGGACTGACATTTACTTTGGGGAAGAGATGCTTTGGGAAAAAAGAAAGTGGATACCGTAAAACACACTGGCAGACTCTGCTGCACCCTAGGGCAACATGTTTTTTGCTTGCTCTCTCTGTGACCATATTAGGTTGCATGTTTCCTCTGAATTAATGAGAATCAATTTTTCCACAATCTATATATTGTCCTGACTATGGGGCTAACCAATCGAATAAGAGGCAATATGTAAACCAAGGTGTAAGCTTTGTTTTGTGTTTGATACCAACATCTGGAGAGTTGGGCAATGATCAGAAGTGAACCATTTCAGCTGAAGAGTTCCTCCGCTTGAGAGTATATTACTTTGGGCTCATGATCACAGAAGAATTTAAGGAACAGCCTGGTGAAAACATCAAAAATCTCAGAAGCAGGAAGGAAATTAAGGAGGTCTACTCAGTATCCTTCCCTGCCACTGCTGATCATTCTGCCACCAATAATGGATAGGCACAAAATATGAATTCCCTCCTGAACCTAATTTGTTGAGGGAGAAATAGTATCCGATTGTTTAGGCCAACTGGATTCAGTCTAGCCCAGAACCCTTCTTTTGAGCATATCAGAAAAGGAAACAAACAAACGCATATTAACTCCTCATCCTTCAACCCCGCCCTACCGTCAGACTAAATGAAATTGTTCATTGCATACTCTGAAATTCCAGACCTCACAATAGTGGAGAAGATTTTAAGAACAGAAAGGAGAGGCTGCAATTGGCATGGTTATTGTATAGTCTACAGGTAGAGGTTAGGGGTGGAGGAACCCAGTATCACTCTATCCCCCTCCCTCCCCCCCAGAGAAACCTTTCTTCTGCTGTTTGTGCCCTCAGCCTGGCACTGGATGGAGGCACTGCCCAGGTGGGGTGGGTGTGTTGGCTTCCCTTTCAATGGTCCTTCGCCAGCGAAGCTTCACTGGCCCATCATGCAGGCCATTTTGCACGCTACAGCAGAGATGAGAGCCGCTCCCCGCCCGCTGCCTTCCTCGGATTGCAGGAAAGTGATATCGCAGCCCGGCGTGAGTTGTCTGACGGCTGCATGGAACCGATCTTTGAAGCTGAACCAAAGAAAAGGGGGAAGGAAAGGAAGACTGTCAATGCCTGAGCATTTGCTATTTTGTGCCATTGTTTTCAAGCAGCGGTAGCTTGCTTCCACTCTGGCAGTAAATTCCTTTGCTTGTGTGCTTTTTAGAGTAAATTACTGCTGTTCGTCCCTGTTTTGGAACAGACCCAGGGGGAAAAAAACAGTAGATATTTATACCCCACTGGGGACCCAAAGCAGCATCCAACATGGTTCTTCCCTCTTCCGTTACATCCTCACAACAACCCTGTGAGGCAGGTGAGGCTGAGAAAGAGCGACTGACCCAAGATCACCCAGTGACTTTCCATGGCAGAGTGAAGTTTCAAACCTTGGTCTCCCAGATCCTAGTCTGGCATTCTAATCACCACACTACACTGGCGCTCCAGTATCACACCTCGTCTTACATCATTATAACAAATTGATAGCCCTGTATAAGGATCTGACTAATCAATGACTTTCAGTTATTTATTTTCAACACATACCCTGTCCCTCTACCAAAGAAATGACACTCAGGATGGCTTATACAATCTAAAATAATAAAATACAAGAGTCCTGTTTTTTTTAAAAAAAAAAAATTGAGAACCACAAACCAGTAAACTAGCAATGAGTTGTTTAAAAGGGGCAAGTAGAATAGTTATAAAACTCATGATGTTTCCAGGAGATCTAAGCAAGTAATGAAATCTTGTAGTCACTTAACTTAGACATAAGAACACGCAGATAAAGCTGCCGAGCCCTTGGTCTATCAGGGTTAGTACTGCCTGGTTTGACTGACAGCTGTTTTCCAGGGTCTCAGGTCTTTTACATCACCTATTGCCTTGATCCTTTTAACTAGAGATGCTGGGGATTGAACCTGAGACCTTCTGTATGTGTCTGTGTGTGTGTTAAGTGCAGGGCTATTTTTGGGCAGGAACGCACAGGAACGGAGTTCCGGCTGGCTCCCAAGTTGGCCACGCCCAGCAGGAACTCATTAGCATAATAGGTCACACCCGACAGCAGAAACTCATTAGGATTGGCTGCATTAGGGGTGTGTGGCCTAACATGCAAAGGAGTCCCTGCTACAAAAAAAGGCCGTGGGTTTTGACAACAAACAAGGTAAACAGAATAACAAGCAAAAGGTGGGTGTGGCTGGATGACCACACGTCTGGTAACATGTGGGTGTGGCCTAATGTGCTAATGAGCTGTGCTGTCAGGGGTGTGGCCCAATATACTAATGAGTTCCTGCTGGGCTTTTTCTACAAAAGGTTAAGTGTCATCAGGTCACATTCCAACCTATGGCAACTCTATGAATAAATGACCTCCAAAAAGTCCTCTCATTAACAGCTTTCGCTCAGGTCTTGCAAACGAAAGGTTGTGGCTTTCTTTCTAGAGTCAATCGATCTCATGTTGGGTCTTCCTCTTTTCTTGCTCCCTTCAGCTTTTCCCTGCATTATTGTCTTTTCCAGTGACTCTCGTCTTCTCATAATGTGACCAAATACAATAGCCTCAGTTTCATCATTTTAGCTTCTAGAGAGAGTTCAGGCTCGATCTAGAACCCACCTTTTTGTCTTTTTATACTAACTTAAAACAAATTAAGTGCCGAGGTTTGGTTGGATCATACTTTAAGTGACTTTCCCCATGTTTCTGGTATCTCTACATAGTATTCTATCAGTAGTCCGGAAAACTGCCATGTGGACGTGTCCTGAGTGGTGTCCAAGAACCCGCTTTAAGGAGCGCATGCTTTCGCTTTACCACAGGCACCAAGCACGGACTCAGGGAGTTTCCTCTTCCTGCCATTGTTTGTCATCTCCTGTGTAGCAGCAGAAACTCTGCTTTTAGCACAGCACGGTGCTGGCATGTAAAAGATGATACTATTTGGCAAAGCTCAAGATAAACATGAGTGAATCTCTCCTGATCTCCCCGACAGCCCTTTTAAACTGCTTGGAGAAAGGCCAACCCAAATGCTGCATGCAAACACACATTCGATTAACCTTGCCACTTTCCTGCAACTCCCCTCCCTCCAGATGCTTTTAACCTCCACAGGGTTCTGGGCTCCATTTGTAAAGGTAAACATTTGTCGCCAAGGGGGTGAGTGGGGGGGGGGGGGGTGGAGCTGCAGTTGAAAAGCAGAGAGCAGGGAAAGCACTAAACCCCTCTTTTCTGTCCCTCCTTGCAGCTGAAAATCACAAACACTGCCTTCTGCCTAGACAAACCATCAGAGTTCAATGCACGCATTTGTGTGTTAATGTTTAGCTATGGTTTCCCCTTGTATGGCCGTGGCCCCGCCCCCAGGATGCCCAGCATGCCTGGGTCCCTTCCGGGTGACGCGCGCGTGCACACACCTGACGCCGGCCGGGAGCCCCCTGCTCCCGGCGAAGAATCACTTGGCAACCCTAAAGATTACCCACTTCTCAACCCTTCCCCCAAGGTCAGGCAATCCATATCACAGTGGGCTATGAACAGAGAGCAGGCACACCACACAAAGAGGGCTGTGGAAATAGGGCGCAACCTGGGAAATAACCAATGTTCCCTCTAAGCTGCGGAGTCTTGTGAGCAAGAATTCTCCTTTGTGAGCTACTGTCATTAAAGTTGTGAGCGAGCGACTTGACTACTGCATAAACTAGCTTGCTCTGGAGCCGTCCTTCCTGAGCTAAGACAAAAACGTGTGAGCTGGAGGCTAAAAAACTGTGAGCTGGCTCACACCAACTCAGCTTAGAGGGAACACTGGAAATAACATGTCACAACAGAAGGGAAAAACCCAATAATAATTCGTAAGTTCCCTAGCTAAAAAGATTTCCCATTATGGCCCTCTGTCAGGCCATGGCTTTCCAAAGGAAATATGCCATGCTAGTAGTGTCAGCTAGCTGCCATTGTCATTCCGGTTCCTGTTCAGTCTTCTTCTTTCCCCCCCCCCTCGTTCCTAGTTTCCTTGAGTTATGTTTTGTAGTCAGCAGAACTCGCCAAGGTCGTGCAGCTGGTAGGAGGAGGAAAGCTTCGCCTAGAGTGTTTTGGGTATTTAGCCTGTGTTGATATTGTAGAACTGTTACATTCCCATGCAATGGGCGCGAATTGTATGTTCTATTCCCGCCAGCGGGAAATGGGCTCATTGGTCCTGACCTGGTTCAAATGTCTATATTATGCCTTCCCTGGTCACCTGTAGTTATTCCTAACAATGTCCTGTTCTGGTTAAACCAACGCTTTGAAATAAACCTTGCTTTGTTCTTAAACGTGGAGTTATTTTGAATGTTTGGGATCCAACAGCCAGTTAGTAGGCTGTCTTGATGGCAGGACTCTGATGTCCCAGAGGGAGGGGGAATACCTTTCTTGACTCCAGTAGCGGCCTCAAGGAAAGCCCCTAAATAATAATAATTTAAAGCATACCCTCATACAGTATCTTCATATAATCGCCCAGGTTTGTCTTCAATCTAGCAGTTGCCTTCACAACTGTTACAGGAAGTCCCTTATAAATACTTAACCCTTCTAACAGTTAAATGCTGGATGAACCATTCTCGACTCACTTGTTCCCAAGGCTACGCAGGCCTCACCTGGGGTGGAGCTTGTAGACAGAGCCATCCACTCCAACGGTAATCTTCAACGTCTCCTCACACCTGCTCTTCCTCATGCGATTAATGACACCAGCCAGCCCGGCTGAACACATCTGCGCAGCCCGTGTGGAAACACTCTCACATGCCATACGAACAATGTCACACTCCGTTACCGAAGACATCACCCCAAAGGAATTCAGGATGTTGTAGATCTGCTTGTGATCGCCAGGGTCGCTGGAAATGACAAATTTAATTACTCTCAGCCGTGTTACAATGGTGGTGGTTAACTTGGTTATCTGCCCATGCCTCGCTGGAGAATTGATCACAGTCAATCCGCACCGTTGGTCTTATATTAAAAGAATGTTACATCATGCTTGCAGACAACATGACATAGCTGGAGCAGACACTGATGCTGTTTGTGACAGGAGACTAATAATTGTCTGTCGATGTTACAGCTCCTTTAAGTTTCCCCACTTGGTGGAGTTCACCGTGTTCATATGCTGTAGCTCACCACTTGTTTGGCTACTTTTCATCTTGCCACCACAGGCTGCTTTTTTTGCCCACTGGGCACGGAGGTCTGCCAGTCCATGTGATGAGCCATTGTCCATGAACATCACTATTGTTCATGAACATCAGCTAGTATTGCTTCTACATGGCCTCCATAACATGGGCACAGGCGGTAACAGCCACTGTTTTTACGATGCTTTCAAGACATCTGTTATTTGAGGCCTCATTTTCTACTTGTTGAGATTCAGTTTTCCTTATCCTGTCCCAGCTGTCGTGCCAACTGTGAGAACTAGAATTGTTCTTTCCTTCAAGTACAAAATTAAGATTCCCAGCATGCTGGTATGAGTCCACACACAGCACGATAGTGTTCCAAGGGGAAAAGACCACAGTTACAGCTATTCATTGTCTACATTGGTACAAGCCAGTTGCTTTTTCTCTGCAGCCAGCCCAAGTTAATTTTCTCTGGCTGTATATTACTGGCTCAAAGGTGACAGATTACACTGAGATTATCAATTTTTTTCATTGTCGCTTTACCCTCACGTAATTATTGCTGTACCTATACAAAAATCAGAAGAAATCCCAGACACAACACTGCACACATCACATAGACTTACCTAGGCCCCTGCCACACAGCAGAAAAAAACACGGCCAAAGTGCGGCTATTCAGAGCTGCACCAAAAAAGACACATGGCAGCGGGATCACACAGATCCTCTGAGCCGCCGTGCCGTTGCTCCCCGGCACAATCAGATGCCGGGGAGGAAGCCACTGACGGGAGACTGGGGCAGCCGGCTGCGCATGTGTGCACATGCGCAGTTCAGCTGGGAGCCTCGGATGGGCCGGCAGAAGGATGCACCGGCGATCCCACGGCCTTTCTGGTAAGTTCACCTCTGTAGGTGGTTTATTTTAACAGCGGATTTTCGGCCTGAAGGGCCGGATCGGGAACGGGTGCGCGCCGCTTCCCAGATGTTGCGGTGAGATCGCGCCCATTTGCTGCACCCCCGATCCGTCCTTCTCCCAGCCCAAAACCTTCCGTGTGACCAGGGCCCTAGATAAGTAATAAAGTAATAAATGATCCATGAGTGCACTCGATTGGTCCAGCCCAACTTTTGCACCTAACACTTTCACAAATGGCTAAGCAAGTCAAAATTCTCTTCTAGGTGGACGCTAACTTGCTTACAACTTAAAAGGAAACATCAGGAACATGACTGACAGCAGCAATCCACAGAGCAAGACTCAGCCACGAATCTCACATTAACTGTAACGAATGACACAGTAAGGGATGGACACACGGCATTAACAGTCCTTCACCTACTGTTACCACTGCCTTCAAAAATCTCATTCAAGCTCTTTTGCTGGGCAGACACATTAATGCCAACATAAATGGCCTTGAGGTATGCAGGCTGGAGCTCTATGTTAAATGACTGCAATGGTACTGTTCCCTCTAAGCTGAGTTAGTGTGAGTTAGCTCACAGTTTTTTAGCCTCCGGCCACACACTTTTGTCTTTGCTCAGGAAGGATGGCTCCAGAGCACACTAATTTATGCAGTAGCCAAATCGGTCACTCACAACTTTAATGCTGGTAGCCCACAAAGCAGAATTTTTGCTCACAAGACTCCACGGCTTAGAGAGAGCACTGTTTATGATAGTGTCATCACAGCTTCCCTTCCAGCAGGGGTCATTTCCTGCTAGGGAAGGTGGAGAGCCCCCCCCCCCAGCCCAAAACAGTCCAGTGGTACCTTTAAGACCAAGTTTTATTCAGGTACAAGCTCTCCCTCTGCGAGGGCAGATCTGCACATTCCTCTCCCCCCAATAGCTAGCAATCCAAAACACTCCAGTGGAGCCTGAGCGGTGGGTATTGCCTTCTGACGCACTTCCGGTGATGTCAGGGGGTGTGGTATATGCAAATAAGTTATGCTAATGAGTTATGCTAATGAGCTCCTGCACCTCTTTTTCTACGAAATGACCCTGCCTTCCAGAGAAGATGCCAAGTGAGTTTGCTGAGAGTTCTGTTAGCAATGCCTAGCCTTGTACAACAATGCCTAAAATTCTCGTACTGGTTACATGTAATTTTGTATAGACATGCCACACTGCATGATTAAAAGATTGCCTACTTTGCCCTACCTCCTACATTTCCCCACCCTTCCTCCACAATATTCAGGGCAGCAGCCTGAATGGTTCTCCCCTCTGTTCTTACAAAAAGATTAGGCTCGGGGGAGGGGGGGATTGGTTCAGAGTCATCCAATGAGCTTCAAGGCCAAGTGGGGATCTGAACCAAGATCTCTTCAGTCCTACTCTTACCACTGCACCAGAAGGGCCTAAAGGAGCCAGACCATGAGTAAAGGTACTTCTGATTACCTGCACAGGGAATCTAATAATGGTGAAGAAAAACACTATAGAGAGTTAACTTCAGGTACTCAGGGGAAGGGCTGGAGGCAGGAAGCGGCTGAGTGGACCAGGAAGAAAGGGAACAGGGGAAGAGAGGTATACAGAACCTTAAAGAAATGCATTACCTTTCAATTTGTGAGATAAAACGAGTTTCAAAGGACCCCCTGATTTTGAGCTTCTCTGGAGCTTCTCCGTTGAAGAGCAAATTTTCATTGACAAGTTTTAGCAGCACTAACCGCACAATCTCCCCCATGTACTTCCCGCCGATGATCTTCTCATACCTGAGAGAAGAGGGGCGGGTAGAGGGTGGGAATCAGTTTTTAGTAATATGCAGGGGTCATTTGGGGGGGGACGCGGGGGGACGCCATCCCCCCGGGTGAGGTGCGGGAGGGCGGGGCCTGGAGCTCCCTGCTGGTGCCCGCTGGAGGTCACCGCCGGCTGTGGGGAGGACACACTTCCGGTGATGTCAGGGGGCATATGCTAATGAGTTATGCTAACGAGTCCCCCTAGCTCTTTTTCTACGAAATGACCCCTGGTAATATGTAGAAATGTGCGTGCAGTGTGTGTGTCTGTAGACACATGAAGGAAAACCTGAGGGGGACCCACAAAACCTTATTGGAGGGCGTGCATGTTCTGTCAGGGGCGGAATCATCCCGAGAGGTTTCGCCAAAACTCTCACGGATCAAGATTGACTGCTTGTCTGCAGAGGCTATTTTATCAGAACTGCAGAGGGCAAAACAACCACTCTCCCTCCTTTGCTGAACTTTGCACACTTTCTCAGCAGCTAACTGTGTGTAGGAGAGCATCAGTCAATTGCACTGCAGAGCATTGCATTTTCACATCTAAGCAGCATGCTCCTTTCAGTCAGTTTTGCTCTGATCTTGGTGCTGACTGACCCAGTAGCTCTGGGACACGAGAGATGAAATGTAGCTCCTGCTTCTGGACTCCCATTCATGTTCTCAGCCTTAAGAGTTTTTCCAGGGCCTGCAATGCCTGTCAACTGATATTCATGCTTACTCTCAACATTAGCATTAATCAAGATGAGTTCTGTCTGAAGGAATGGCCCTATCTAAAATGATGATGATGATGATTTAAATTATAGACTGCCCTCCCCCAATTCCTGATCTGTGCCTGGGCAAGGATGGGGCTATCCTGAAGGGTCCTCCCACTTTCTCTCTGGTCAACAGGGGGAAGCCCAGGAAAAAGGCAATTCGCAGTGATATCAACTTTTCTGTTGTATTCCTTACAGCTGCTGACCGGGGTTAAGCGAGGTTTCGTCCACCACACGATCATACTCCAAAAGGAACTCATCCAGCTCTCCTGATGCTCCAAAAGCTCCCCATTCAGTGTTCACGCACATCCGGCCTTCATCTCCTTCCACCAGCTCTACATTCTGCAACTCTTCCATGTAGCAGGCATTACAACCCGTGCCTGGTAGGGTGGAAGCACAGTGTGATTTTCCATATTCAGCCATTGCACAAGTGCTAGAGAGTGAACTCTTCGCAAACCGTTATTACTGTTCTCTGCACAGGAAATCAGCTCAGATGCAGTTCGTCTAAGCATCTTGGAGAACAATGGGTGTGAACAATGGATTCATACCATCATTAGCATACTGGTGCCCATTACAAAAAAAACCCCAAAACCACTATAAATCAAATCTGGCTAAAGCGTATCCCATTTTTATATCTGGTAAGAAACGGAACTCTGCCTTTTCCAGAGTGATTTGTACCACCATTGAGTCCCATGTGATCAAAGCATCCAATGAGGAAGAGCAATAGCATGGCATCACAACATTATCCATGACCCTTGGGACACTGCTGAAAGGAGGTTCTTTCTATCTTTCCATTCTCTAGGCATTTGGGCCACGCCTGGTTTCAGCTGCTAAGCTTTGAAATGTCATTGGGTTGGATCTGATGGATCTGTTCTGTTCTGCTAATGGTGGCAGTATCTTCTGGTTCAGGGTAGAAGGGCCTCTTGCAATAGCGGAAGGGTCCTTACACAGGGGCAAAGTGCCACTGTTAGCAGAACAGACCTGCAAGATCCAGCCCAAAATATCTAGATAGACTGTTCATATTGTCCTTCTTTTCTCATGTGCTGTTGGATTGACTCTCCTTGCACAAGTTAAGAGATGTAACACAATCTTGTGCTGTTACGGTTGGATTGACTCTGCTTGCACAAGTTAAGAGATGTAACACAATGTACTCCACATTAAGTAGAACAAAATTGAAGTCCAATAGCACCTTAAAGACCAACAGAATTTTTCAGGGTTCAAGCTTTTGTGAGTCAACCTTCACTTCATCAGATACAAATAGAATGAAGGTCCATCAACTCTTATAGCCAAAACGGAAAGTGTGTCTTTTTCCCTGGAAAATTTGGTTGGTTTTTAAGGTGCCACTAGGCTTGAATTTTGCTTTACTACTACCAAAACTATCCACATTTAATACCATCTTCAGATACAGATAGTGTCTAGATTTTGTGGGCTTGAATTTTGCTTTACTACTACAGACAAATACCCAAAACTATCCACATTTAATACCAGCTTCAGATACAGATAGTGTCTAGATTTTGATTTGGATCCCAACAGAAATCTCCACAGATGGATTTCAATCAGTGGAGTACAACTTCTCCATCTCCTGGTCCCACTGCAGCCAAAATGCCCCCACAAGACACCCAGAAACAGTATAAGGAGAGGAGTTTGAGGTCTGCCAGAGGGTGAAATCAGCGAAAATCAAAACCCCCCCCCTGCAGATGCAGAGGTGATCGGTGGGATCCAACCCACTTTGGTCATAGTACTTCCAACATTTCAAACATCTCTGAATAATAAAAAGTATGGAAAGATTGCCAGGTGGAATTTCCACATGAGACATTAAATATGTATTTAAACTTGTGTCCCTTATACCACATCATGTGAATATTGTTAATGGGGGATAAAATGCTTAAGATGGTTTCTGCTTTTGTCATCAAACTGTAGTTGACTTATGGTGACCTTGTGGGGTTTTCAAGGCAAGAGACTCACAGAGATGGGTTGCCATTGCCTGGCTCTGTCTAGCTATCCTGGTATTCCTTGGTGGTCTCCCATCCAAATACTAACCAGGGCCAACACTGCTTAGTTTCTGAGATCTGACAAGATCACTGCTTAGTTTCTGAGATCTGAGAAGATCAGGCTAACCTGGGCTATCTAGCTCAGGCTGCTTAAAATGAATCTGTACATTTTATTATGACCCAGCTGAAGCAACTAAGTACAAAAAAAATGCTTTGGCCTCTTTATGTAAAAAGCCACTGTCCCTTACCTAGTAGCTAATTAACCAAAAGCAGGGCCATTTATGCCTACTGCATATTTATACCTTCTAATGGTGGATGTCAATTAACACGGTTGTACATGATGACAGTACAGCAGATTGTGTTGATAAAGGCAGTATTTGAGAATGTCAGTGGCTGTACAGATGTATTCCCAGAACCTTAGGTAACACTCTAACCACATTAACCACTTGACTGGGTTTTTTGGGTTCTGTGTTTTATCTTTCCTGTCAACCTGCTAGCATAACATCGCACACAGTATTACTCTTCTTTAAATAAACAGACTGTATCCATCCTTATTTTGGATGCCTTTCAGCACAGTTCCTCCCTGCCTGTCCCAATAACTGGAAGAACTCAATCAATGTTGCTCTGAACTAGAACGACGGAGGCCTCATCCAAATTCACACTGACTACAAGACTGTGTTAGACAGCATCCAGTATGTATTTGCAAGAGTTCTCTTTGGAACGATACTAGCACAGGGCAATGAATCTTTTCAACTCTAGACAGTCAGTTGATATCAGACACCCTCAGAGATAAGCTGATAATGCCCAGATTATTAGAAGATATGCCCAATATTGACAAACCAGGATCAACAATAGGGCTGCCAGCCCCCAGGTGGGAGCGGGGAATCCCCTGATTTCACAGGCTTCTGCCCGGCTGGGAGAAACCCCATCCCCAACAGCATGACTCAGCACGACATCCTCAATGTGATAATGTGACATGGAAGTGACATCATCATGCTGGGGATGACATGCAGCAACGCTCTGGTATTTTGAGCAAAACTCTATGGTAACCATAGAGTTTTGCCCAAAATACCGAAGCATTGCCACACGACATCCCCAGCGTGATGACATCACTTTCACGTGATGTCATCACACTGGGGACATCGCACGTGGTGATGTCACCCGACCCCCACTCCCGGAAGGCTCCTTCCCACCCCCCGCCGGTGAGAGCTTAGGACCTGGCAGCCCTAATCGGCAATCAAATCAGCAGCAGTGGTGGTTTCCAAGGTGTGTAAGATCAGAGCCTTACCTACGATCATGCCGACTTCACATCGGTGATCTTCATAGTAGCAGGACACCATGGTGGCCACTGTGTCATTCACCATTGCTACCACGTCCATCTCGAAGTCCTGGATAGGGTCGAAAGAGGCTTTATAATCCCAAAGGACATGTGGAGAACCCACAGGACAGAATATCATAGCCAAATATTTGGGGGAGGGGATTTATAAACAAGACAGTGCTCCAGACTGTTGGGGAGAGGCTATCTATTGGTCAATGAGCAGATGCTTGTCTGCACAGGGTCCCAACTACAATCTCTCTGAGAAGGCCTCTTATGCGCAAAGGAACAGGAGAAAACAGCAGGCAAGAACCTCTCCATCATGCCTGCATCCTGCTCCCACTCAAAGCTCTCAGTTACCTCCTGCCATTGCTAAGACCAGAGGGAGAAGAGGCAGCAGCAGCTGGACAATCTTCCACTGGACCCAGGCTTCACTACTTCCCTGAGAACCTTCTTATTTATAACTGCCTTTTGCAGGTCCAGAGGGTAGCAACATTGGTCTGCAGTAGAACAGATTTGAGTCCATTAGCACCTTAGAGACCAACAGGGGTCATTTCGTAGAAAAAGAGGTACAGGAGCTCATTAGCATGACTCATTAGCATAACTTATTTGCATATGCCACGTCCCCTGACATCACCAGAAGTGTGTCAGAAGGCAACACCCACCGCTCAGGCTCCACTGGACTGTTTTGGATTGCTAGCTATTGGGGGGGAGGACGGACAGATCTGTCCTCGCAGAGAAGGGAGAGCTTGTACCTGAATAAAACTTGGTCTTAAAGGTGCCACTGGACTGTTTTGGACCAGGGGGCCGGGGGGGGGGCTCTGCAGCTTTCTGGCTGCTTCTTGCTCTGACTGAGGGCTGCTGGGAGCAGGGGGCGGGGCTCGTTGCATGTGCCCGCCCCCCGGGCTCTTTACTGCCGGAGCTCCGCTCCTGTGCGCTCCTGCAGGAAATGACCCCTGGAGACCAACAAGATTTTTGGGGAATGAGCTTTGGAGAGTCAAGGGAGCTTTGACTCTTGAAAGCTTATGCCCCGAACATTTTGTCTCTAATGTGCTACTGAACTTGAATCTAACTGTTTTAAAGGTCCATAATCTGCTTTGTGAGCCAACTGTTGGCTGAAATGTAGGATCTAGAAAATTCAGAAGTTAAAAAACAATAAGCAAATCTCTGACATCTGCACATAAAGGAACCTCCAGCAACAGTGCTGGGAGAGACGCCTGTGCCCTGCCTGAGATTTTTGCAGAGCCACTGGTTGACAAAGGAGGCAAGGCTTGATGAACCAGGGATCTAGACTCAGTACAAGGAAAGTTCCTATAAAAGACATACAAGAAATGAAGAGTAATGCCCTGAGGTGGATAACCCAGGCAAGCCTGATCTTGTCAGATCTCGGAAGCTAAGCTGTGTTGACTCTGGCAAGTACTTGGACAAGAGACCTTCTTGGAATACCAGCAGTTCGGGAGGACAGGGGCAGGCTTTATTTAGCCACCTCTCTGACTATCCTCCAGGCCCCCAGTAGGGGTCAGTCACCAGAGGTTGCCATGACTTCTAGGAGCGTGCACACACTAACACACACATGCACATATGAAAAATACCCAAAAAAATACCGAAAAGAAATGAAGAGCAATTAACCATTGGCCATGGCTAGAATACTTGGGACTGCTTTCTTTGGCCATTTCCTGGCAGTCCTAAAATAAAATGGGCTGCTTCTCCTCCGTTGTCTTTCAAGATGGCCATTTCACTGAACACCATATAGAATGGAGAGGGCAAGATGGGAGTGAAGGGTGAAATAAGAGTTCAGAAGTGCTGGTAAATCATCTTCTTCATGGTCAAGGCAGGACTTATATGTATGGCCTCTCTTCCCCCACAATAACTTTTATTGGCCTTCCTTCCTGGTTGTGTTATACAATGCCACAGAGTCCATCCTTCAAAGCTGCCATTTTCTCCAGGGGAGCTGATCTCTGTCGGCTGGGGATCAGTGGTGAAAGCGGGAGATCCCCAGGCCCCACCTGGAGGCTGGCAACCCTAGTTCAGAAGTGCTGGTAAATCATCATCTTCATGGTCAAGGCAGGACTTATTTGTATGGCCTATCTTCCCCACAATAACTGTTATTGGCCTTCCTTCCTGGTTGTGTTATGTGGGCGTATGTTTTTAAATATTTTATGTGCACTCTGTTTTAAATGCTGTTTTAATGTCTTAAAGGTTTTAATGTCAAAGTGTGTTAATGTCTGGATGTTCTCCATCTTGGGGATCTTATTTGGGTGGAAAGGCAGCATAGAAACGTGTTAAATAAATACATAACTTAGATATTAATATAGTTCCCCTCCCTTGGGACAGTTTTGAACACTCATGAAGCTGCCTTATACCATTGGTCTACGAAGGTTATTGCTATCGACTCTGATGGGCAGCAGCTCTCCAGGCTCTTGAGCTGAGGTCTTTTGCACCACCTATTTGATCCTTTTAACTGGAGATACCAGGGATTGAACCTGAGACCTTCTGCATGTAAAGCAGATGCTCTACCACTCAGCCATGGTCCCTATTTAACTCTGCATGGAGTTTTGAAGGCAGAGACTTTTCTGCTTAGACTCTTTTTCTCAGCCAAGCAGGAGTTTTCAACTGAGGCCCCTGAGCTGCTTAACAACTCAACAGAAGAACTGGCATGCCAGACTGTAGCATCAGCCTGCTCCTAAAACAATTGTTAAGCGGCCAGAGGGTCAAAGCCCATACATCTGGGCCTTTCCCTGCAGCAGGCAGCTCCCCAGCACTGCCTGCTGCCTAAATGTAAACACAGAAGTGCAGGAAGTGATGTAGGACAGCTGATGCTGGCAACAGGAAGAGCTGGTATCCAACTTGAAGGCCTCAAAATGAGATGGAGATCCACATGTGGCCCTTATACCCAAAGAAATTTGCCTATTTCCTTGTGGGGGTGTGGTGGGGGGCTGAAGGGCGACTGAAGTATTCACGTGGACTATGTTGCACTCAAGGAGACCTTGTGGACATACCAAATGTGAAAGAACTGAGAACAACAGATACACTGGGAAAAGAAAAGAAAATATTTTCCTCTCACCCCCCGCCGTTTGATGGCATCTCTCAAAAGCCCCACAATATTGTTCCCTTCAGCTCCTGATGCTTTGAAGCCTTTAGTCCAGTTCAGCAAGATCCCCTGTGGAACAAAATATGAAAATGATCAGATCAAATGCTCCAAAATGTACATAATGTTACAACAATGTACACAAAGCCACAAGGAATGCCACATTGGCCCAATATGTGGATTCTGTAGAGTAATTATGAGGCAAGCACAAAACCTGATGGTGGCTGGGAAGGGGGACAGGCGTGGGAAACTACTCCCCCACAATCTTGATTCATTCGTTACATGCAATAGCCAAGACATCCATGCCATTGTTTGCAAGTTTACAACACGTTAATTTAGCCCAAGGAATGCCTTTTGTTGGGCGGAGCTGGGCTATGACAAAGTCCCCTTGCCCAGATGTTTGCCACAGCCCTGTAGGAGGGGAACACATCAACTCTCAGTGCCCATTGGGGCATTTAAATACAATAATCCTGGGTCTCCAGCCATTCATGCCAAGGCACAATGTGTGCCTGAAAGCATTTAAACCTCAGGATGTTCATACTTTTTAAAAATTTTACATACTCTACCCAATAGGGACCCAAAGTGACTTACAACATCTGTTCCTCCATTTTATCTTCACAACAACAATCTTGTGAAGTCAATAAGCATATGGAGCAGAGGTCCATCAGTGGCTATTAGCTACAAGGTATAGATAGGGGCTCTGGGGCAAGGGATGCTCTGTCTTCTTGGTGCTTGGGGGGGTCAACAGTGGGAGGGCTTCTAATGTCCTGGCCCCACTGGTGGACCTCCTGATGGCACCTGGTATTTTTGGCCACTGTGTGACAGAGTGTTGGACTAAATGGGCCTTTGGCCTGATCCAACATTGGCGTCTCTTATGTTCTTATGTTCTTAATTAAGCCGAGAGAGCAACTGGCCAAAAAATCACGCAGTGAGCTTCCACGGCTGAGTGGAGATTCAAACCTATGTCTTCTGGATCCTAGTCCAGCAGCCTACGCACTGTACTACACTGACTCTCAGAGTTGGGAGAAGGCTAACTGGAATTCCAGATCAAGCTAAATAGTTCCCCTGAGGCAAATAATTAATAATTATCATATGGCAGCATGTGTAATACACCCAGGAGATCCTACAATTGTCTGGCAGTCAAAAGTTCTAGTTTGCGTTTTGCATCACTAGGTGGGCGAGCTAGACTTGTTTTTAAAGCAAGAGACATTTCAGAGGTGGTTTGCCATTGCCTGCCTCTGTGTCATGCCCCTGGTATTCCAAGGAGGTCACCCATCCAAATACTAGCCAGGGCCAACTCTGCTTAGATTCTGAGATCTGACAAGACGGGCCAGCCTGGCCTATCCAGGTCAGGGCTTTCATGAGGCATCTGTTAAAGATTTGGGTGGGACAGGGCTTGCTCAATAGGGCCAGCACAGTAGCCCTTTTCAGTAGTTACAATTTGGAGATTACACGGTAGTGATTATTTTCTGAGCATCTATAGATTTATTTAATTTTTTGGCAGTTTCCCTTCCAAGTGTCTTACCTCTGGCTTGAGTCGCTATATTGTTTTGATGCTGCAGTGGAGGGGTGCTGTGCACGCTTCTATCTTGTGTGCAATTTTTGGAAGCTTTCAGTAGCTCAGCCAGACCACACATGCAGGAATGAGAGCTGACAGAGCATAGCAGTGGAATATGGGGGGTGGGGCGGGTTGCATTTCCATAACTCACCTTGTCGAGGTCCTCGTGTCTCACAGGGAAGGAAAACGTAAAGCCCAGAGGTAGCTTTTTGTGTTTCATCTGGTGTTTATCTAGGAAGTCAGAGATGCATTCTGAGATGTAGTCAAAGAGCTGGAGAAGAAAAGAAGGGGGGGGAGGGAGGCCATTGCTTTTTACTAAACATTGCCTTTTAATCTGTGACTTCTACCTTAATGAACACTACCAACTGTCCAGGGGGGGAAATATCCCTTTAATAGAGGTTTAATATGCCGAAATGGGCAGCTGAAGCTTTTCAAGGCGTCGCCTGATGATTGCTGCAAATCAAAGTGATATTAACGAGACAGTTACAAAGAGACCAGTTTGAAAGTTAGCATCCTGACAGCTGGGCAGAGATGGGCTCTGGCGTGGCATGTAAAGCATTAACTTCCAAGCCACAATTCACTGTGTAGCGAGTAGTATTTCTTCACCCAGTTTTCTTGTAATTATTCTAGCCATTCTCTCGAGTTTCTGTTGGAAGCCACATCTCGACCCACGGCTCTTTGAAACAAACCACATTCATTTATTTAAGACATCATCTCCCAGAGTGGAATACCTGATATCTATATACAAATGGAAGGCAGTAAGCCTGGTAACTTGTTTTTGCGTTTTGTTGTTCGCATGGTATGGGGGTGGTTTTCTTTCAGGTTCCTTGTAAAAATAAATTCATAAAGAGGCTTGACTTAAGCAAGCTGACTGAAAATACTGGATGCATCTGATCTTTCCCCACTAGATGGCACTTTACTTCTACATGGGGTTAACTCATACAATGCCCTCATTCTTGTGCATTCTTTATGATGATAATTAAAATGGAAGCAGGCTTTTCTATGATGCTGCTGGCCAGGGGAACATCAGAACAAAAGGAGAGGTATGCATCTCAAAATGGACGGCTACCATTTTCTGTAACAGGTAAAATAGCTCCCACAGAAGAGCATCTATCATAAACATGATAAATGAATAACTTTATAAGCCATCAGCATCCACACTTAGGCAAAGGAGATCCCCTACCCTGGATGTTGGTTCCATTGCTGAACTACAACTACTGTTATATTCTGAAGCTAGGATTTTAAAAATCTAGTATATGGTCATCATGACATGACACTTTTTTGTGGTAGAGTATATACACAGTAGGAGCTGCAGTGGCTCAAGTGGTTAAGACGCTGAACTGCAGGCTGTGGAAGGTCAGTAGTTCAGCAGTTCGAGACCCAGGTGCCGCATGATGGCGTGAGCTCCCATCTCTAGTTACAGCTCCTGCCAACCTAGCAGTTCGAAAGCAGGAAATTGCAAGTAGATAAATAGGTACCACTTCGGTGGGAAGGTAACAGCGTTCCGTGCGCCTTGGTGTTTAGTCATGCCGGCCACATGACCATGGAAACGTCTTCGGACAGCGCTGGCTCTTTGGCTTTGAAACGGAGATGAGCACCGCAACCCTAGAGTCAGATTCGACTGGCTTTCAAGCAAGGAAACCTTTACCTTTACCTTTATATACACAGTACAACCACATTTATCTTAAAGAGTTGGGGGTTATTCAATCATTTAGGTCAGAAATGCATAGGAAAGGAGTATGCAGCTTGCCTAGGATCAAACTGTAGTTCTGCAAAAAATGGGCACATACAGTGGATTTGGATGCTAAGAAATCTTGGATATCTGTTGTCCTCATAGTGGGTTTATAATTGCCATCACCTATACAAGCAGCAAGAGTATCTGCCCATTTTCATCAAAACTAATCATTTGACTCCCATAGGCATGGTTTCCTTGAAATGCCCATAACATACTAACAATGCCGAAATGGTTAAATTCAATAAAAGCTGCTCCGGGGTCTCAAATTGTGGCGTCCCTCCACCCATATCCCTCCTATTCTGGTTTGGCCAGGTCTTACTATGACCTCAAAGCAATCAGACCGGCTATGATGCACCCAGAAGTGCATGCAAAGCTCCACTGTGACATCAGGGAAGATCAGCCAATGGTGTCAGGAGAGTCAAGGTTGATCAAGAGAGCAGAAAGTGAAGAAGACACTGCAAGAATTAAGAGCTCTGAGATTTTATGGCAGAATTAAAAAACAGCACATTATAACCAACAGTCCTTAGTTATTATAGAACTGTCTGAGACCCTCTTTCCCAAGAAGAGTGCCTGAAGGGATTTGAACCATGGTCCAATTGTAACATTTTGTGCAGTGTATCCCACTCTTAACCTCCCACTCCCCAGGATCAAGGCATCTTCCAGTTCCTAACATTCATGTACCACATCTAACATGACTCATTTCATCTGATTTCTGACTCACCATTTCGGCTGTTCCTGTCATGGCATCCTCCGGGATGGAATACATTTGGTGCTTTGTCTTCACATTCCATTGCCCTTCTTCACCTTCCCCCACTTTGACCAACATCACTCGGAAATTTGTGCCCCCAAGATCCAAAGATAGGAAATCTCCAACTTCTGCAATACAAGCATGGAACACATCAACTTTACCTTCAGAAAACAATCTAGACAGAGACCACTATTACACAGTCCCCAGAAGACCTCAACCAAAGCATGATTATTTATTATTAAGATTATTTAAAGAAGAGATGATGAATGTCAGTGCTCCATCTAGATGTTCAGAGTCATGCACCAGAAAGTCTTGGACTGCTCTTGAACTATCGGGACCAGGGATCCTCTGATCCCACCTCCCACTGACATGTATTCCCAACAGGGTAATGCATTACCTGAACCCTCAGGGGTGGAGCGCACATATGTGGGCAACATCTTTACAGAAGCCTCTTCATGGGTCTCCAGCTTTAGCCCTCGGTCCATTTCCTTTTGCATCCGATACATTACTTTTTTCAGATCCTCTTCCTGTAGCGTAAACTCTGACAGGATCTGCTCCACCTAAAGAGACACAAGTCCATAGAGGTAGAAATGTCATAAACATGGGGCTGGTTTGCTCAAATGGATCTATTTCATCTATTTCTGTTTTTGTTTTCCAAAATGCAAAATCTGCTTTTTCTTCACATGTTTCTGATGTTTTATGAGCCCAAACTGTATGCAGATATTAACATTTACCAATACATTTAGCACTCATCCCCAGTTAGATTCCTATTAAAATTATGTAAGATTCTGAATGTCCTAATGAGTTAGGTCAATGTGCTACATACCTATCATCACTGGCCTTGGTTTGCTGTTTACATAGAAAACAAAGATGCCAACGTTTGAATAGCTGCCTGGCAGCCATTCCCCAGAATTTGGCTAATTGTTTATATGTCCAAAGCACAGGCCCCAAGATATTCAGGGGGCCACAGCTTTCCTACACAAAGTGATCAAATGCAGACCCTGAACCGTGGAGCATTGCTTTCGTATGCAGAAAAGGTCGTATTTACTCCCAGTTTAAATCTCTCTTTGATGTGTTCTGATTTTGCTCAGAAAAACATCTCTCCCTTCTGACTGCACAAACATTCAGGATGAAGAAGGACACAGATCTAATTCGCCAGCTGAGAAAGCATGCTCACTTCACACCTATAGCTCTAAATGTTGACAGCAATGTTCACACTGTAGACCTTCCATGGTCCCAAGTGGTTAATTATTGAGTCATATATAATGGGGAAGGAATCTGAAAGTTAGGGGATCCTGCAGGCTTGTTTTCTGACTCAGACTCCTTCTTCCCCCATTATGTATGATTCAATAATTAAGCACCTCTGTATCTGCAGAAAACCAAAGTTTATTTTTACTTTTGAAGCACAAACTATGGTTTGTTCTCTACCCTCTAAATTGGAATTCCAAGACACCGTTTAATCCTGATTTGGAATCCTGGTTCGGAAGGAAGAGAACAAATCATAGTTTGTGGGTTGGATATAATGACAAACTATAGGTAGCTGCAAGAGTAGAAAGGTTTAATTATTGAGCCACGCACAAAAAGCAAAGGGGGTGCATGAGACTGAGGTTTGATCACATAATAACAAACTATGATTTGTTGCTATATGTCAGGCTGCTGAGGTCAGGCTGCTGAGGTCAAACTACCATATCTGACTCTGGTGATCCATAATGAAGGAGTACACCTGCTATACCTGGAGTTTCCTTGGGGCATGATTGCAGCTAAGAAGTAAGGCCGCCCTTATCTAAATGTTGATGGAGCATGTGTGTTCCTGATTTTCTCCCAGACTGCTCTTTGAGAGACATTAAAAGTTTGCAAATACAGAGGCAACCTGAGGCACTGTACTCATTGTCCAAAACTCTCTATATAATGCTTGTTGATCTGAATGAAAAGTAGTAAGTGTTTTAGAAGGGGCAAAGAAACTGTGATTTTCAGTTCCTTTTGCACAACAAGCTAATACAAGAACAAAGCAGGCCTTTCTATGTAGCTATATTCATGTGAAGTAGTGCTTCTTTATTATAACTACACTATTGGTTATGGAGCTGAACCCTCTTTAGGAGTTCTAACCTGTAAAAACAAAATTGCATATAAAAGCACATTTCAAGCCCTGGCCTGGATAGCCCAGCCAAGCCCCAATCTCATCAGATCTCAGAAGCTGAGCAGGGCCGGCCATGGCAAGTACTTGGAAGGGAGACCTTCAAGGAATACCAGGGCCAGGATGCAGAGGCAGGCAATATCAAACCACCTCTCTGAAACATCCCAGCCCCACTAGGGGTCGCCAGAAGTCACCATGACTTCCAGGCACACAAGCGTGCGCGCGCGCACACACAAATACTCAACAAAAAAAGCACATTTCAAGTAAAATCTATTCACAGGTTGTTTTGATTTAACTGCTAGATGTACTTTGAAACAAATGTCAACGGTGTCCGTTAATCTCAACTGTATCTCAGACTTCCGATAGAGAAGCTGCACAGATCTAGGGTTTCTCCACTAAATATAATCCATTTTGTAGCAGGGCCTGATCCAGGCCAGAAACAAGACACTTTAAACTCTCATGGCTGAAATCCTCAGGGTTCACAGGACCAGATTAACTGCATATATTGGATGGTGTAGACTTCTGGGATATGTCCTCATAATGCTTAGCAGCAGTGACTTACAGAGATGCAGGGTTTCATGGAGAGAAAGGTCAAAGTGGGTGATCTGGGAGAGAAAGGATTCTCTGAGGGCCGGACGTCTGCCTCCAGAATTGCTAACATAATATGGACTTCTGCCTCCAGAATTGCTAACATAATATGGAAACTATTTCTAGACTTGTATTTTGGAACTCAAGCCAGAATAAGACCATGCTTTAGGACAGGGGTCGTTTCGTAGAAAAAGTTTTCATCATGTATTCATCAATACATAAGTGTATTGAATCAGACAAGCTAATACATTGCAGCCTTAAAGTGGATCATCTTGAGAGAGGACACGTGATACTGAACGCGAAGCACGTAGCATCCAGTGTTACATCTTCATTCCACTGATTTCAGACATTCTGCTCTTAGGGGGCGGTCACAGAAATAGAGAATATATTCCAGGCTGCTAAAGCCTTTTTATTTGGTATATACTCAAATAGAACTTGCACCGATAGAAAATAAATTCCAGGATCGCAGAAGATAAAGCTGTATATTATCTGCAGACAGTTACAGCTTCCAAAAAGGGGGGGGCGATTTCCCACCTCCCCTTGCTTTCCTGTGTATGCCCCCCATTTCTATGCACAGTTATAACTGCAGCCCCAAACAGGAACATTTACAAGATCTCCAGATAGGCTTGAGTAAAGAAACAGACAGACCATGGCCTCAGGTGCTCTCTGTAGCTGCTGCAATGCCTGTAATTCTGGAATGTGGATTTAAATCATTGCCCCACCTTTTGTCACTCTGTGACCCTGGGTCCTTTAGGTACCTTTGGAATGCTTTGAAGATCTGTGCCTATATTAGCATCCAAAAGACCTTGGATTTCTATTTATAGTAGCTGGTTATGTTCCAGACCTAAAAAAGGAATATCATCCATTGGCCTTCTTGTTAAAACGTTGATCAACTGCAGCTAAATATAGTACAAAAAATAAATATTTACACTTGTTTTGGTATTGCATTTTTGGTGGCCAAGAGGACCAGAGATGGCAAGAGGGACAAAATCAGTTCTCTTAGGACATGACCTCTGATTACACAAGTGGAAGAGTTGCCCAAAGCCTTACGTAAAGAGAATCATGGTGCTTTCCAATCCCAATTCATTCTTAGGCCTCCCATTTCCATGAATGTTACTGACACGAGGTAGCTGCACATGTTACAAAGTGCAAACATTTCCTAAGGATACTCTGCCTTTCTTTTGGACTGACTGGATTGGTGTGCGAGAGCAAAATAAATAGAAAAACAGAGAAAGATCCAGCTATCTGATGCATTTTTATCCTGTCCCTCTTCTAAGGAGCCCAGGGCAGCATATCTGGTTTTGACTTCCCTATTTTAAGATCACAACCACCCTGCGAGGAAGGTTATGCCGAGAGAGAGTGACTGGCCTAAGGTCAACTTCATGGGCAAGAAGAGATCTGAACCCAAATCTCCCTGTTCTTTCCTACTTCAGCACTTGAACCACTAACAAGAATATGAATGCAATAGCTTTCCCTGTTGTTACCCCCTCATGCCTGGTCTTCAGAGGTATACATTCTCTGAATATGTAGGTTCCATTTAACAAACATTCATTTAGCAGCCTCAAGGCCTTCAAAGGGTGTAATTTAGGACTGTACTGTTCCTGCCACAGTTTTTCATTGTTACTACTTCTTTTATTAGTTATTGCCTGTTGTTTTTATTGCTTTCTTGATTTAACTGGTTATTCAATTTGTTAAACTGATGATATCTCTACTGTGATTCTATTGTCTGCTTGTTTTGCTAGAAGCCTCTTTGGAAAATTTCTTTTTTAATGGCAGGTTATAAATGATCAAAGTAAGCAAATAAAATAGACTGGATTTATCATGAATTTATATACCCCTTTAAGAAGAGGAGGAGTTGGATTTATACCCTGCCCTTCACTTGAAGTCTCAGAGCAGCTTACAATATCTTTCCCTTCTCCCCACAACAGAAACCCTGTGAGGTAGGTGGGGCTGAGAGAGCTCTGAGAGAACTGCTCTTGAGAGAGAGAACAGCTCTGAGAGAACTGTGACTGACCCAAGGTCACCCAGCTGGCTGCATGTGGAGGAGTGGGAAATCAAACCCTGTTCTCCCAGATTAGAGTCCGCCATTCTTAACCACTACACCAAACTGGCCTTTAACCACTACACCACTCTTAACCACTACACCAAAGACTTAAGAAAGACATTCCAAACTTTGCAGATATTTGTTAGCTTGTGTTGTGGGGTTTTGCGCAGTATATCGGAAGAAATGCCCAACCCCAATTCTTCAGAGTGCCACCAATGACTTGTTACAAATATGTATGAGCAGTTGGACCCCTTTACTTTTATGTGGCCTAGAAAAATTTGGAAACTTACTTGTCAACTTGTTGTTTCTCCCTATATCTTCTTGGTTCCAGAGGGTAGCTGTGTTGATCCGCAGTAGAGCAGCTAGCTTCAAGTCCAGTAGCACCTTGGAGACCAACAAGATCTTCAGAGTATAATCTTTCAAGAATCAACGTCCCCTTCGTCAGATACCATATACCAGATATCTGACGAAGGGAGCTTTGACGCTCGAAAGCTTAAACCCTCAAAACCTTGTTGGTTTCTAAGGTGCTACTGGACTCGAAGCTAGGTCTTCTTTTCTTATTATCTGGTTTGGCCCTGATAGTGTAGACGTAAATGCCTAGCCCTGAGGTCTGAGCTCCAGGGCTGCAGCCAGGATTTTTTACTTTGGGGGGCATTTAAATAAGTTGGGGGGCACCCCCCCACACACACCTAGGCTGTGTCAGGAGTGACAAGAGTAAAGCAATGAGAGAGAGGGCGGAGGGCAAGGGTGCTGGCAGGGCATGTTAAAAATAAAATAAACCAGCTGGATGGGAAGTCGGGGGGCCTGGGCGGTAAGCCCTGAGATGCCCCACTGTCGCTATGGGCCTGCTGAGCTCTCTAGCACCTGACAATTAATCATAACTATTCACACTTCACCATATTGTGCTCTCAAAATTTAGAATAATGGTCAAACCACCACAGGAGTATATCAAACTGCCATATGGACGTGCCTTAGAAACTTAGATATACATTCCCTCCTCATCAAATACTTTGGGTTAGATCCTACCAGCTTCTGCACCCAATCTCATTTCATTCTCGTCTTGCCCGCTGCCCTCACCTTGTCCTGCAATCACCTGTGTAGTATTTTCAGCGGTTAAAAGGGGGCGTCTCTTCCATCTTTCACCAGTGGAAAAGCTGGTAGGATTCAACTCTGCATTTAGAAAACAGTACATATGGGGCCTGTTCTCATGACCATCTCATTCGTGGAAGGCATGGTTTTTGTCATCCCAGGACAGTCCAGCCTATCCATCTGTGCCAAATTGGTATGTATGCATATCTACGGGGCCACGGTGGCTCAGAGGTTAAGATGCTGAGCTGCAGACTGGAAGGTCTGTAGTTTGGCAGTTCGAGACCCTAGTGCCGTGTGATGGAGTGAGCTCCTGTCTCTGGCCCCAGCTCCTGCCAACCTAGCAGTTCGAAAGCAAGAAATTGCAAGTAGATAAATAGGCACCGCTTCGGTGTGAAGGTAACAGCGTTCTGTGTGCCTTGGAATCTAGTCATGCCAGCCACATGACCACAGAAACTTATTCAGACAACGCTGGCTCTTCGGCTTGGAAATGGAGATGAGCACCACCCCCTAGAGTCAGATTCGACTGGCTTTCGAGCAAGAGAAACCTTTACATTTATGTACATCTACAAATTGAATTGGGGTTTTGGTGTTCTACCTAAATTGCAGTTCTCATGACCTGTGGGCAGATATAAAACTTATTACATAGCCCAGAGCATGTAGGGATATGGGGGATCGCCAATCACCAGTGTGCGGATCCAGGGGACAGCCTTGATGTGGTTTGTCTCATTTCTCTCTCTCCCTCTCTCTCTCTTTTTTTTTGGGGGGGATCCCCCTGAGGGGAATTTTTTATTGATTTTATGCAGACTACAAAACTACAACCAAAAATATGGGAAGGGGAAGTACATCTAGGATAAAGAAAAAAAGACCCACTACTAACTAAAAACCCAAGAGTAGGAGATCATTACATCAGCTTAACTCAATGTTATTTTTTTCCTTTAAAAAACTAATAAAACAATGAACATAGTCGGTTATGCTAAGTTAATTTTTTAACCTTTAACTGCTTAGAGGAAACCCCCCGAGCGTCCCAAATCTATTTCAGAGTTTTCAGGCACACATCAGAGTCCTTCAGCCACTATTTATTCTTCTCTTTTCTAATCCTCAGTTTGTATGCACTTTTGAGGGCAGCCGCCCCCTTCTCAGAGGGTGAGTCCTCGTCCAAAGCCCCCAAGCCTAACTCGCCATCAGATTTGCTTTCTTTTTCTTCCTTCTCGTCCTCAGCTGGTTCCCCGAGCTGTGTTCGCAGAAAATCACGTGCCTTAAGAACAGAGTCAATCTTTTCTTTTTTGTCATGCAGTTTGAAAATAACACCTTCTGGGATTAACCATCTGTAACTGATGCCATTTGTTTGTAAAAATATGATTAGTTCTTTATAATTCTTTCTCTTCTGTCTAATATCAAATGGAATGTCTTTTAAAATCCTGATGTTGTTGTCCCCAATTTTCAAGGGAGTTCCCGTGGTTGCTTTCAAGATAGAATCTCTCACATGTCTGTTCGAGAATCTGACTACTATTTCCCCAGGCAGATTATTTTTCTTGATGTATGAGGAATAAGACCTATAGACCACATCCATCTTGCTGTAAAGATATTCCACTGTCAAATCTGTCAATGGGGCTATTGCTTCGCTCAGCCATTGCTTCAGATTCTCTCCTTTAATTTCTGGGACCCCTTGAAATTGTAGGACCAAGTTGGCTTTCTCCATTTGCAGCTGCAAAAGTTTAGACTCTTCCATGGCTTGCTTCATTTCCAGCTTTTGCGCCTTTTTCTTAACTGTTTTAGTATTGGCGTCCATTTCCTTCACCTTCTCTCCCATTTGCTCCATTGCTTTTAAGGATTGGGTCAATTGTAACTGCTGTGAAGCCAGGCTTTGACCAATTATTGACAGTTGTTGCTTGATATTAGTCATCTCATCCAGCAGAGGGCGCAAGGAATCTGCCAACATCTTTGAAAGCTCAGCGGTCTCTTCTGTTCGAGGACTACCCACTAGTTTCGTTTTCAACAGTTTTGCTTTCTCCGGTTTCTTCCCCGCCATCTTTTTGGATTTGTTTACTTATCGAAAAGTTGCTAAAGTCTCTGATTTTCACCAAAATGTTTATCTGCGCTCTGGTAAGTCTCTGAAAACAGTTTCAAACGCTTATTTTTCTGCTCCCCTCTCTTTATTCCTTGTTTTTGTTTATGCGTTTGGGAGGGGCCCCTCCCCTGCTCGCTTCCCGTCGCTCTTTATGGGGGGCAGCTTTCTATTTTATCACTCTTTATGGGGAGCAGCTTTCTATTTAAATCTTCATATTCGCTTCAACCTGACTCACAGTTCATTGTTGGCCACCCGGCCCACTCAGCATTGGTTTCTTTCCACTCGATCTCCAACGCTTGTCCCAGTCAGCAGCACTCGTACCATACGGTCACTCAGTGGCAGGACCTTCGGGGCGGAGGAGAGCCTTAATTCTCTGGCATCGCACCATCGAAGAGGTCGCCCCTCAAAAGCTCCCTGGCTAGGAGCCTTTTACCAAAGCTCCGGGAGGGTCGCGACCCGTCGCACCCCCTCCTACACGCTGGTGTGCAGTTTGGATCCCCGGGACGTCCGGGAGATGCATCTGCCTGCGTGTTGCCATAAACCGGAAGTCCGTTTGTCTCATTTCTCCAAGGTTGGGGACAGAGGGTAGTGCTAGGGGAGACCTGTGGTATGTGGTGTCCCTCGAGAGGCAGTCCTCTCCCCAATGTTACTTAACATCTTTATGCATGCCCCACGCCCAGCTGGTGCAGAGCTTCAGGCCAGAGTGTCACCAAAGTGCAGATGACACCCAGCTATATCTGCTGATAAGCGGCCAGCCGAATACTACCCCAGATATTTTGGCCAAGGGATTGGAAGCTGTGGCTGGTTGGCTAAAACTAGGGTTGCCAGGTCCGATCATTGCACTGGCAGGGAGGTTAGAGGGCATTCCGGGGGACGTTGCAATAATGGGTTTAAATTAAGGGCGAGAAGGTATCGACTGGATATTAGGAAGAACTTTTTCACTGTAAGAGTTGTGCAACAGTGGAATCAGCTGCTTAGGGAGGTGGTGTGCTCCCCCTCCCTGGCAATCTTTAAGCAGCAGCTGGACAAACACTTGTCAGGGATGCTCTAGTCTAGGCTGATCCTGCATTGAGCAGGGAGTTGGACTAGATGGCCTGTATGGCCCCTTCCAACTTTGTGATTCTGTGATTCTATTGGTGATCCAGGGAGGCTGAGGATCGAGACTTTAAGTGAGAAGAATTCCAAAGGGTCTTGGCAAGAGTGATTAACACATGGAATTCACTGCCACAGGAGGTGGCGGCGGCTACGAGCATGGACGGCTTCAAGAGGGAATTAGATAAGCATATGGAGCAGAGGTCCATCAGTGGCTACTAGCCACAAGGTATACCGTAGATAGGAACTCTCGGTCTGGGGCAAGTGATGCTCAGTATTCTTGGTGCTTGGGGAGGGGCAACAGTGGGAGTGCTTCTAGTGACCCCACTGCTGGACCTCCTGATGGCACCTGGTATTTTTGGCAACTGTGTGACAGAGTGTTGGACTGGATGGGCCATTAGCCTGATCCAGCATTGGCTTCTCTTACGTTCTTATGTTAAGGAAGTTAAGACATAAGGGGAAGAAGGAATACAAAGTAATTGAAGACCAAAGCAGCTGAGGGAAGGATGGATGCAGGAAGTTGAATAAAAGAAGGCAGAGGGTCTTCATGGGTCTTTACAGCTGGATAATAGAAATCAACTGCTGAAAATTTATGTAAAGATGTCTTATACCAAGTCAGATAGTTGGTCGAGCCGTCCCAGTATTCTCTGCCTAGCAGCAGCTCTCTGAGGTTTCAGAGAAAGGTCTTTCTCAACACGTATTAGATAAAGGTAAAGGTTTCCCTTGCTCAAAAGCCAGTTGAGTCCAACTCTAGGATTGCGGTGCTCATCTCCGTTTCAAAGCCGAAGAGCCAGCACTGTCCGAAGACGTTTCCGTGGTCATGTGGCCGGCATGAACACCAAGGCGCACGGAACGCTGTTACCTTCCCACCGAAGCGGTACCTATTTATCTACTTGCAATTTCTTTTCGAACTGCTAGGTTGGCAGGAGCTGGAACTAGAGACGGGAGCTCACTCCGTCATGCGGCACACCTGGGTCTCGAACTGCTGAACTACCGACCTTCCACAGCCTGCAGTTCAGCATCTTAACCACTTGAGATCTTTTATTTGAAGTTGATTGGCATTGTTCTTTTAGGTGCTCTACCACTCTGTCATATTTCCTGCCCGCATCTAAATGGTCTTTCTGTTATTGCGTGGGGGAAAGTGCTTTAAAGGGCATGCACAAACATGTGAAGCTGCCTTATACCAATTCAAACCATTGGTCCATCTAGCACAGCAAACTCTGCTCTGTTTTCTGCAACACTACGTGCCAAGGAACTCTTCCCTTTGATCCCTCCCCCTTGTGTAGTTGTTAAAGAACCCCTTTCAGGCATAAAGGCAGTGACCCCATATGGGAGGCTGTGCTGCCAATTAGCGTTATCCTCTCTGATCCTTGACAAATTAAGCACTGTGCAACTGTCTTTTCTTAAAAGTTATGGGGAAGAGGTTAGTACACTTGCAGATAAGTAGTTTCAGTGGTGAAGACAGACAAGGAGCAGTTTGAAATCTGGATAAGCAGTGAATGGATCTTCTCCTACATTTCAATCTATCAGAACAGCATAGAAAAGAAACTGTGGGAAAGACAAAAAGTTTTCCGATGCCAACCATAGCTGGGGTTTTTAAAAAACTGAGCATAACAGGGCTACAATGTTCCCGGTACTTTTTTCTATGAGACAAGAAAAGCTCTTGCTGGCAGAATATTGAGAAAGGATATCAGTGCAACTGGTGAGGAGGGACTGAAGTAAGACGAAGATCCAATAAAGCCCTTTCAATGAGCACAGCTAATGGATGGACCGTTCCAGACATTACTTTGAGCTTTCCTGTCTGTGCAAAGTATAAGATTATTTATTCCCAGGTCCCAGACAGAGCTTGGCAGTCTCCACAGTAACAATATTGACTATATACATATATTTCCTTCTAATTCAATGAAGCACTGAGGATCCATCTCACATGTTCAAAATGGAAATTAGAGAATAAGTGTTACCAGCTCTATGAGCTACCTCTGTTAGTTCAGCTACCAAGTATTTGATGGTGGCCTCTTCTGAATGATATAGGAAAGGCATACCAGAACAATAACAAGAGCCACATACTCCTGAATATACACTTTCAGTTTCTGGATGATCACAGAATTACTCTGGGTCTGCAAGGCTGGATCCCATAGGATCAATTAGACAAGCAAAAACCAAAAAAACAAAAAGGGATGCTGGACAGATTGGTCTTTCCCCATTACAATGTTGCCCAAAGGAAAGCACAATAAACTGGAATCCCCTTCCCACAGTACAGAGAAAGTTTTGGAATTATTCGACAACTGTCTTAACTAATCATTTTAAAATACAGCAGGTTGAGGGGACTAATCTTTGCAGAGAGGAGCTCTTACCAGCTGGAAAGTCTCAACCACTGTCTTTGTCATTGGCAAGACTGTACTCCCCAAATTATCCTTCGGTTCTTGATTTGTCCTGGGAAGAGTCAGGAACCTCTTGGCCACTTGCACTGAAACTGAGCAGGGAGCCTGAGCGTCTGCCTCTTTTACTTGCATGTTTGCTGAAGTTCAAGGTTGAGAACTGCTGATAGGGATGGCAACCTTTCTAATCCGGAAAAAGATTAAAGGTCCACCAGCAGAAGAGATAGACATAACACAACAATGGCCAACAGAGAAAACGAAGGCCCACTATCAGAGACACTAGAAGGCAGGATGCCAATGGTAGAAACGCATTTCAAAGAAATCTGCCTTTAAGTGGTCTAGGCAACTCTGCATTTGTATTTCTTTAGGATAAAAGGGACTTTGCAGGGTGTTTGGCATGCAAAGCAACCTCTGTGTGTGTGTTTTGTAACACTTAGGTCAGATTATTCCCCTCTCCCCCATTTAAAAACATAATATAGCTGTGGTGGCTGCAATTCAAACGGGGAGAGACTGGTGCAATGGGAGGGGGCTATTTACAATAGCAACATTATAAATTTTCACAACAAAAATGTTTTCAAAAGCCCTGGATTTCAGCAAAGCGTACTTTATTCGATCAGGAACAAGACGACTTTGGGCGGCTCGCAGGCCGGCTTATATCCCCAGAGAAACCGCCACCCAAAACACCCCCCTACTTCCCAATAGGTTATTTACAGTGGCCGAGAGCCCCATAGGCTCTCGGACGGGAACCTAGCCCCCTGATTGGAGTGGGCTAGGATCCACATAGTCCATTGTCTCTTGGAGCGAAGCTCGACGTTTGTCTCTGACCGCGTGGAGCCTGAGCCGTCCATGCGGTCTGGACTGGATACATTACTGTTAGGAAATACCTAGAGATTTTTGCCGTGGAGCTTGAGGAGTACAGGGTTTGGGGAAGGGAGGGGAGGGACTTAAATCAGGTCTAATGCCATGAAGTCTACCTTCCAAGGTGGCCATTTTCTTCAGGGGAACTGATCTCTGTCGCCTGGAGATCTCCAGCCACCACCTGAAGGCTGGCAACCCTTTATGATGTAGCAACTTTGTTCCATGTCCAAAGAAATGAGAGACAGGTGCCTGCTGAGATGGTACATCTATGTCTAGGTTGTACCAGAGCCACTGAAGGCTCACAGGCTCGGAATAAATCCCTCGGCACAGAAAACTAGCCTGTTTTATTACCCTGCAGAGTTCTAGTCTAGCCTTGTTAGTTTACCAAGGTTTCCCCACCCCCTATGGAGGAGTATTCAGTCATGTGATCCCTGGCCTGCCGTCTGTACAGCTCAGACCTAAGTTTTGTACTTCAATGGATTTTCAGCCTTAGGTTAATTATTTACCAGGATGCAGCACTGAAGCATTCATCTGAGCCAACAAAGCCATTCAAAATTACATGTGCTGTACAAATAGACAAGAGCAAAAAAATAGAAAACCAAACCTGGGCTTTTCAACCTTGAAAGTCACTTT